TCAACCGGCCGGCCGGCCGAACCCGCAATAGAGAATAAACGGAGCTGCTTCCCTACCGTAGCTCCAGCTGCCAGGTCACCAAAAAAAGGGTGGGCGGATTTATTCTCTTATCTCACCGCTTGTCATTGCCGGCCTAGCGCGTCTTGTCACGCAGAAGCGGGAAACATTTGAGCCCCTCGCAAAAGACCTCACGGGCAGAATTCGGATTACAGATTGTTTTCCCCACCTTTTTGTTTTCTTCTTGGAGAGGTCAAATCAGACGGATTGAAAATCGGAGGAAGGAGAGAAGGTTTTGGAATATGACGGGTATCCCGTCCAATGCCGGAACAGACGCACGAGCGCCGGCGATTGGCCCTGGTACTCCTGGACTATAAAGTACATAACTAGGTTAGGTACTACAGAGTACTGACTGATGTTTTCTTTGCGACTGATGTAGCAGCTGTTGCCGTAAGCGTGTGCGTGCATGCAGACAAGATTCATGTTGCCTATAATTGTTACGCGGTTCGTTTCTAAAGGATGGATGGACCCTGTTTTTTCTTCCCTCCCAATGTCCTGGTGGTTTGAAAAATAATTCTCTCATTGCCTCCTCCGACTTTCCTTATTCTTTTGATTACCAGTGATTTTTCCATTACCAAGAGTGAGAGACAGATACATGTTATCTCATCTTTGAAATATTATAAATTTCGAAAATTTGGTCGCTCCAGTGACGTCACTTTTTTTTTTTATAGATTCGCATAGAAAGGATTAGGGACACTTTTGGGCTATACACCAAGTATATATCGCATTTCAATCTCACAAGATCGTGGGACCTTTTTACCCTCCTCTACTCTCTCATCAATTCGTTGTTCATTCTACAGACAACCACGCCCAAAGAAACAAGATGGGTTCTGTACCGCCTGCCTCGTCGCTGCCGGCCCTGGCCACCAACCCAAAGGCCATTTTCTTTACCGACTTTGACGGCACAATTACGCTGCAGGACTCCAACGACTACATGACGGACAACCTGGGGTTCGGCGTTGAGCTGCGGCGCCAGGGCAACCGCGACGTGCTCGAGGACAAGAAGACGTTCCGGGACTCGTTTCGCGAAATGCTCGACAGCGTCCAGGCGCCCTTTGACGAGTGCGTGCGCACGCTGCTGGCCAACGTAAAGCTCGACCCAAAGTTTGCCGAGTTCAACAGCTGGTGCCGCGCCAACAATGTCCCCATTGTCGTGCTCTCGGGCGGCATGCAGCCCGTCATTCGCGCCCTGCTCGCTCACCTCGTCGGCGAGGAGAATGTCAAGGGCATGCAGATTGTTAGCAACGATGTGGCTCCCCGCCCTGGCAAGAGCATCAACGACGTGGGCGGCTGGACTATTGTCTACCACGATGACAGGTACGAAGTTGTCCAACCCCCCCCCCCTTTTCGCCACCTTTTGGGGGGCAAGGAGTAAAATCTCCAATTGGAAAATGAGAACATTGAAAAACTAACCTCTAGACATGTAAAGCGGTTTTGGACATGACAAGTCCCTCGAGATTCGACCGTACGCGGCGCTGCCCGAGGGCCAGCGCCCCATCATGTTCTACGCCGGCGACGGCGTGTCGGACCTGTCGGCCGCAAAGGAGACGGACCTGCTATTCGCCAAGGCCGGAAGAGGTATGCGGTACTCCCAAATGTGTGTAGAACTTTTGCTAACTTGTTGCTTTAGATCTCGTCTCATACTGTGACCGAGAAAAGGTGCCGTACACCGTCTTCAACGACTTTGGCGATATCCACAAGGTCGTCAAGAGCGTTCTTGATGGTGAGATCACCGTCCAGCAGGCTGCCGTCAACAAGTCATAAGGTGGCACTTTATCTTTTGCGTCTTTTGGCATATAGATTTCGTTTCTGATTATCAGCATCTACACGCTATAAACCACTTTTATATCGTCTTAGAGGATTGGCACTAAACTAGAAAGTTTGGAGGCTACAACATATCTATTTGGTCAGTCTGATAGTATTTATGGTAGTATTCGAAAATGAATACAGAATGCATTAGAAGTATTGGAATAGTTCAGTTTTGATCCTTTCTTGGGAGAATAGCCAATAGCATCCGCAGTTCCGGTTGCTTGCTCTATCAAATGGTATCTTGTGATTTATATTTGTTCTCGGAAGAGCTTCACTCGGATTGAAGCCAGATTCTGCCATTGTCCTAGTATTTTTCCCGCTTTTTGTGGCTTATTTAGAACAGTCCCTGGTTTTGCTACTCATACATGCAATGTTTTGACTCCTTATGACGTCCGAGAAACGACCAGTCACGCAGCTATAATGCTGCTCTCAGCTGGTCAAGGTTGTAGTCCCTCTTGGTCACTGTGTTGACTTGTAGACCGACCGGAGTGGCCCGGGGTGTCTGTTTGATCTGGAATTACCCTTATTTGAATGGCGCTTCGTGTACTTTCTTGTACAAATCATATCGAAGTAGGAGCGCGTTCTCGAGACCAACCTTTGCTGCGCATGTTGCTCTCAATGACTCTCCAAATCTGCTCCACCACCTCTCGGTCCCTCCAGCGGCTTGCGTCTACGGAAGACGGCGCCACATCCTTCCATCTTTCTACACCAACCGCAGTGACTCTGTGGCCCCAGGCCTGCACATTCTCCGGCAGTTTGTCAGCGCGCCATCCAACATAGATACCAGGAATGCGCTTGAACAGCTCGTTCGGGTTGCTCCACTGATAACTCTTGAACTGCCATGCTTGGCCAGTGGTAAATACGGCCACTACACGATTCCAATACTCTGGCTTGAATCTCTCTGGACTTTCGACGAGGATAAATCGGAACGGCCTATTCGGATCGATACCTGGCAGTGTGCGGTTGATATGGAGCATAGTAGAGCCTTCAGCAGATGCCAATGGCGAGTCCGCTGGTACAAACTTTCCACCCTCCAGAAAGAACTTGGCATTTGTCATGCGCAAAAGTGAGGATGCCGAGGGCGAGAGCAGGATAATGGGATCGGGCCGTCGTTGCTTCTGGTTGTGTGTGAGCGCCGGGTTCGCGGCAGCCTGAGTGGCAGACTGCGAGGGCTTCTTTGACATGAAAGGGGCTGCTAATTTTCGGACATGAGAAAAATCCTAGAGGTGACGATTGTTAGCTGCTTATGGTAGTGAGGGAAAGCAGAGAGCAGGACAGAAGCTCACCGTAGGCTTGACTCCGCGCAAACAACTATTTCTGTCGCCCATCTTACGCTCACTGTTGTAAATGACGGCCAGTCGAGGATCTAGCGAGCCCTTGCCGGACTTGCCTACCGTACCACCAATGGCTGGGGCTGCTGCCCCCTTGGAGGCGAGGGCCGCCGCGGCATTGGAAGCTGCGCCGTCCTTGTCACCAACCAGAGGTTTGATGTATTCGCTCTCTTCGCTTGAACCCTCCAACCAAGCAATCAACTCGACTCGCTCAAAGTATGCGGGCTTGTGGACCTTGCCGTCGACCAGCTCATCATCCAATTGCGAAACGGCAGCATTGTACTCTGGGATGGGGACTTCGCGCTTCAGCCACAGAAAGTAAATGCTTCGTAGATCCACAGGAGTGTCGTTGGCGACGAATCGCGTGGGTGTGGTGATCGGTAAGGAAATGCGCGACGGTGTGGTGAATGTGAGATGTGTGGCCTTGGAAAGCTCGACCTCGGGAGCGGCAGCGTCGTCGGACGCGGTTGGAATGATCTGGCTGTTGGATGCGATTGACTGCCGCAGCAACAGAAGGGGATCCAGATCTGGAGTTGCCATGACGGAACTCCGGGCGAATATTGAAATCTTGTTGTGAAGGGTGATGCTGATTTTGTCTTGGGATGAATTCACGACCGTTGTCTATTGGTGTCTTTAATAGTGAATGATGGATCGTCGAGGTAGCTAATTATTAGAGGTGTTGTTGCATTGTCCAGCCTCGCGCGTTTGCACTTGTTCAGCGCGCTGCCCAGGAAATTTTGGAGCTTTCCAGGCGGCGGAAGCTTCAAAAGTGGGTCTGCCAATGGGCCATCGTAGTGCAACAGGGCAAAAGTCTTGGTGCTTAACGTACATTATATACTCTGTACCTTTCTAGCCAATATGGTACAACACTCATGTATTTGCAAAAGACGATTCTGCACAAATTCAGGTATTTCTCATACAAGTGCCAACTCAAAACATGAGTGTACATACCGACTGAAAAGCCTAGTACTCTGCTCCATCATGGGAAAACACGAAAAGATGAAAACCATATTATACATTACGGACCTTTTGATTTGCGGAATGGGCCAATGAGCAGATCTGATCATGACATCTTTATCTAACCCCGGTTCAATGAATTTCCTGCACCCTTTGGGTTGGCCTCGACAAACTCATCCCACTCTCGGGCCTTCATTGTTTCTGCATCTGCCTTCTCGTAGTTATCCTCGTCAGGCGTCTTGGGTCGGCCGCTGGCCTCTCCGCCTCCCTCAATGATTCCACCACGCCGCCTCTCTTCTTCCAGATACTCGTCGATGCTCATGGTGGGCAGGTTATGGCCAGGTCGGAACACGCCCTTTGCTATATCTTGTCGGTTGGCAGTCAGTGTGAATGGGCGTAATGGTTTGCCTTCCTTGCTGAGAATAGGGCCCTCAAAGGCAGATTGTAACCTCCTCAGCGGCCTGTCGAGCCGTTCGGAATATTCATCCTGTGTCGGCGAAAGGCGGCGGCGCTCATCCTCTTGTACTGTGGTTGTGTTTGGCATGAGGTTTACTGGAGCGAGCTGCAGCATCTCCATCTCGAGGTTTAGGTGCTCGAGACCTTGGAAGGCCTGATGCGCGCAAAAGGCAAGTTCGGCTAGGTAGAGCTCCCGTACTGCCTCCTCGTCCCCGCCGTCTTCCAGATACCTCGGCCTCTGGCGCATATACTCCAGCTTCCGCTTCAACTCTTGCTCCTGCTTAAAGTTGGCGATCTTGGCGTTTCGTCGGGCTCCGGGGTCTTTGGTGGCAATGACGGAGAAGGCCTCTGGATCCTCGACGTACGACTCAAACAGCTTTGCATCAGAAGGGCTCAAGATGGAGTAGACATCCAAGATAAAGAGAAACTTCTCATAAGCGTCACGAGTGGTAGCAAGTGCCTCTTTCCGCTCAACTGGTGAAGTCACGGAGACTTTCTGAAGCAGCTCGGCGATACGATAGTTCACCAAAAGGTAAGGGAGGTCTGATGTATTGATGTCCTCCAGGCCCTCATTGTCGCTAAACAGGGCGACGCTGTGGATTATTTGAAGGCATTCTTGGTAGGACTTGAGGGAGAAATCCAAGTCCTCTCGATAGCTGGGAGAGTTTGCCTCGTAGGCATTTTGCAGCGCGGCGCGCTTCTGCTCCGCAGCCTGGAATACGCTTTTTAGGGACCTTGGTTCCGCCATTTTGTGGTTCAATAAGGATGTCAATAGAACGAATGTCAGGAGAAATACTGAAATGATACTTGGTCTCGAAAAGAAGGAAAAAGAAAGAAAAGTAATGGGAAAGGGTTGTGAAAAGAAACTGCCGAGATCTCTGGGTGTGTCTCGTGAGTATGCGGTGGCAATGACCAGCAAAGTCACACCCAGCAACTCACATGCGAATAATATTTCAGTGGATGGCCCAGACCTTTCAAACTGGCTGCTGGGTTGGGCCAAGGAGGGGCAGCAGAAACCAAAGCTTTTTCAATCTGCCCCTCAGTGTCCAGTCTGGTTGCGCCCGAGCTTGGTAAGCTTCTAGGTACCTAGACCAACCAGCAGCCGGCTAGGGACTTGAGCTGTCAATCAACCCAATGCAAGAGACACTGGAACCCTTGCAGAGCAGAAGCGAAAGAAGTAGACCCCTGTCCGAGTATTTAGGCGGGGATATCTACTTATACAGGTACCCAATATTCACGAATACCTAAGACAGGCATTTCAAGGTTCTAAAGATGCGTGTGTACTTTGTACATCATACCTTCCTTGTCTGCGCTTCATTTTTGCTTACTTTGCTTGCTAAATGGTAAGAAGACGGATCTTTCATTTGCATTCCTCCGCTTTCTGTGCAAACAATTCAGCACAACAAAATATCATGTAGCTGAACTTGTATGACACGTACTCTTGTTGTGATAATGGTAGAGGTAAAGGGAAAGTGCTATTTGCTTGCATGCATTACAATGTATGTACGCACAGCCAAGCCTTCCATCCGTTTGTCCCTGCCTAGTCGCTGTCCAATCAAATAATCAGTACACCTCATGCACCTTGAGTCTTTGAAGTGACTTGTAAAGTTGCATGCAGAGAAACTTCAAACCACTTTACATACAGACAACGACCCTCAGTGAAATGTGATAGATTTCTGAGGTTCTTGCTTCTCAAAGTTCCACTCCACAACTTCAGCTTTGAGAAGGAAATGGGCAGTGCCTTGTTTCCATATCCATTACTGTCCATCTACCTATCTACTCTCGCCCACAGTCCGTCCATCTGCTTCCAGCCGTTCCAATTTCTTCAATTGATTGTCCTCTTTTCTGGCAACACAGGCAACAGCCAAACCAGCAAATGAGAACCAGTCCCGCTATTCCAGCAGTCTAGTCAGTCCATGTCTTTCTGACAACCATCACCATGACTGCCGAAGACTCCCTGCGACTGCCTTCTGCGCGGGACCTTGCTCAAGAAGTTCCCGAGGCAATAGTTGAGCTAAGCTCTGACGACGACGAACTTGACTTGGAAGATAAAATCAAGTCACAACCTCTTCCATCAAAACGTACCGTTGATCAGGTCGAGTTCGCCCAATGGGTTCGCCAGAAACAAAAGCGTATGAATGAACAGAGTCTCGCCGAGTCAACCGAGCCCTTCGGAAAAGGCCCTTTTCAGCCCGAAGATATAAAGAGCATAATCTCAGGTCGACTTCCTGCTGACAAGCAAATTATTTCCAGCCCTCGAGAGTATCAGGTCGAACTCTTCGAGAGAGCCAAGGAAAAGAACACCATTGTCGTCCTGCCCACAGGAACCGGCAAGACCCTGATTGCAGCTCTTCTTACGAGACATATTATCGAGCAAGAACTCATTGACAGAGCCTCCAAAGAATTTGGCAATAAGCCACGAATTTCCTTCTTCTTGGTCGACAAGATTTCTCTTGTGCACCAGCAATGGAAAGTGTTGAGGGCGAACCTGGCATATAATATCGCCAAATTCCATGGAGAAATGATGGGTTCTGCCCTTACCCAGGAATTTTGGAAGCAGCAACTCGAAGAAAACATGGCGATTGTCTGCACGGCCGAGATTCTGCGACAATGTCTATCTCACGGCTACTTTGGCATGGACCAGATCAACCTCATTGTCTTTGATGAAGCACACCACGCCAAGAAAAATCACCCTTACGCAATGATAATCAAGGATTTCTATCTCGAACTGGGAAAAGACTGTCAAAGACTGCCGCGTATTCTGGGCATGACTGCTTCGCCAGTCGACGCCAAGACTGATCTTGCCGTGGGCGCTGCCCACTTGGAAGCTCTTCTCCAAGCAGAAATCGCCACAGTAGACGATCCATCTCTAATGAGAGCTTCTTGCAGCGAGGACGGAACAGCCCTAGAGCGAGTAGCTGAGTATTGGCTGGCACCAGAAGATTTCACAACTCCCCTGTGGCAGAAACTTCACAGCTTCATAGGGAGGAACGCCATGTTCCGGAAGCTCTTCTCGTACGCCAGAGCTTCGACAAAAGAGTTAGGTCGCTGGTGTGCTGATCGGATATTCTATCTTTGCCTTACAACGCAGGAGCTGGCAAAGGCAAAGGCAAAGACGGAAAGAAACTTGATGACACTTCGAACTGAGACTCTGGTCTCTTCTATCGATATTCAAACTGCCTTGATAGATAATGTTGGCCAAATACTCTCAGAACAAGAGCCGCCAGAAGTCTCCCAGTCGAGCCATCACTTATCAAACAAGGTGGAAACACTTCTCGAGATCCTCACGGAGTACTTCAAACCAGCATCTGATAAATGCATCATCTTTGTTGAGCAGCGACTCACTGGCGTTGTACTAGCCGATCTCTTGAACCAGCCAAGTTTGAGACTACATGGTCTCACTGCAGGAACATTGGTAAGCCTCCCTCGACTTGTATCTTCTTCAACATACTCACGCATAAAAGTTGGGCGCAGGACCACAAGACATCGGGTCATCACAAAGCATGTCCAATTATGAACAACAGCGGGCGATACAAAAGTTTCATACAGGAGACCTTAATGTACTCATCACCACCACCATTGGTGAAGAAGGTCTCGATATCCCGGACTGTAATATGGTTGTCAGATTTGATCTTTACCATACCATGATCCAGTACATCCAATCCAAGGGTCGCGCCCGGATGAAGGATTCTAAATACTTCCACATGGTGGAAAGGGGCGGAGAACAAGTACAAAAGGTGTTTGACAGTCAAGACAAGGAGGCAGTCCTGCATAGGCTCTGTCTTGCCCTACCAGAGGATCGCTTGCTCAAGGGCAACGATTTTGACATGGAATTCTTCCTTCGCCAAGAAAAGACCAAACGTGTCTACAAGGTCCCAACTACTGGAGCCAAACTGACTTATGAATCGAGTCTGGTGGTTCTTGCAACATATGTGGCGTCATTGGCCGACCGTCCCGACGTGGCTCTGAAAGCAGATTACATTGTGAGAAGTGTCGGGACAGAATTCCAATCCGAGGTAATCTTGCCCGATAATTCACCAGTCAAGAGTGCAGTCGGTCGGCGTGCCAGTTCCAAGCAGGCTGCCAAATGTTCCGCAGCCTTTGAGGCTTGTCTGAAGCTGAGAAAGTGCAATGAACTGGACGAATATTTGCAGTCAAGACGCAAGAAGCGCTTGCCAGCCATGCGAAATGCCCAACTGGCGCTGAGCTCCAAGAAGCGGGCTGAATATAATATGAAAATCAAGCCAGACATATGGAACGATCGCGGATTGCCTGAACGTCTGCATGTCATGGTCTTGAGACTTGAAAGCCCCGAGTCTATGGGCCGGCCTTCACGTCCACTGCTACTGCTCACACGTAAACCCCTGCCCCAGGTGGCAAAATTTCCCATCTTCTTTGGCAACCAACAAACATCGATGGTCGAATGCTTTCTTTTGTCCCGGGAAATAACTGTTTCTGTGGATCAGATCAAAGGACTGACAGATTTCACACTTCGTATTTTCAAGGACGTGTACAGCAAAGGATACAAGTCTGAGCCAGAAAAGCTTCCGTACTTTCTCGCACCATCGACCCGAGACCATGCATCTTCAGCATTGAAACAGATTCAAGACGCATCCAAAATAATCGATTGGAAGTGCATTGATATGCTTCAAGCCCGTAGTGAACTCGAGAGCGAAAATCAACCCGAGTCCTTCTGGTTGGACCGATACGTTACGGATCCGCACGATGGCTCTCGCAAATTTTACACCAGAAAGCTCAGAGGCGATTTGAAACCTACGGATCCTCAGATCGTCAATGCAAAGGGTCTCGGCGAACAGCGCAAACGCCGCAATGCTGCGAAAGACATTTGGAATTACAGCATCAGCATGTGGTCCAAGTCTCGCAGTCATCTCGAGGTACGAGACGATCTGCCGGTGATTGAAGCCGAATTCATTCCACTTCGGCGCAACTTGCTTGACGAGTATGAGAAGTCTGATTATGAGGGTAACACGTGCTATATATGCTTTGCCACATTGAAAATATCAGCGGTGAGTTATCGAAACTACAAGAGACAGGAAGCTGGTTTACTAATCAAATAATGTCTAGCTACCGGTCGATGTTGTGGCCATGGCATACACTCTTCCAGCCATTATCCACCGCCTAGAGTCAAACTTGATTGTGCTCGAAGCTGTTCAAGGTCTTGGTCTCCAGATACGCCCTGAGCTGGCCCTCGAGGCCATGACCAAGGACAGTGATAACTCAGATGAGCATTCTGCGGAACAGGTCAACTTTCAAAAAGGCATGGGTAACAATTATGAGCGCCTTGAATTTTTGGGCGACTCATTTCTCAAAATGAGCACCTCGATTGCCCTGTACACCATGTCCCCCGAGGACAGTGAGTTCGACTACCATGTCGATCGAATGGTTCTGATATGCAACAAGAACCTCTTTAACAATGCCTTGGAGCTCAAACTCGAGGAGTCGATCCGATCCAAGTCGTTCAATCGTCGAACTTGGTATCCGGACGGCTTGGAGCAGCTTAGCGGCAAGTTGAACCACAGCATCTTGGGCAGGAAGGGAGCAGGTAGAGGCGTTCACATGCTCGGAGACAAGTCGATTGCAGATGTATGTGAAGCGTTGATTGGTGCAGCCTACCTCACGGGCAGAGACAGCAATAGCTTTGACCTGGCTGTCAAGGCTGTCACGACCTTGAGCAACTACAAGCTCCAAAACAAGAACCACACCATGGTGGCGTATGAAGAGTTTTTCTCTGCTTATGAGGTGCCCAAGTGGCAGTCGGCCAAGCCAACAGCAGTGCACCTCGATCTTGCCGATAAGATTGAGAAGAAACTCGGGTACAAATTTGAGTATCCGCGTCTGTTGCGTTGTGCATTCATCCACTCGTCGTACGGCTTCATATACGAGCATATTCCGTCGTATCAGCGTCTAGAGTTTCTCGGTGACTCGCTGCTAGACATGGTTTGTGTCGATTATCTATTCCACCGGTACCCTGGTGCCGACCCGCAGTGGCTCACCGAGCACAAGATGGCAATGGTCTCGAATCAGTTTCTGGGTTGCCTCTGTGTCGCGCTCGACCTACATCGTCACTTGATGTGCATGACGGCGGAAATGCCACAGATGATAGCCACCTATGTCCAAGAAATCACTTCCGCCCAAGAAGCCGCCGAGGAAGAAGCCGTTCATGCCAACCAGGCTCGGTCCTCCTACTCCCGCAACTTTTGGACGTCCGTCAGGGAGCCCCCCAAATGTCTACCGGATATCGTCGAGGCCTATATTGGCGCCGTATTCGTCGACTCCAAGTACGACTACAGCCAGGTCGAGGCCTTTTTCCGCAACCATGTTGAGCCCTACTTTGAGGACATGCACCTCTACGACACATTTGCCAACAAGCACCCCGTCACGTTCTTGGGCAACAAGTTGCACTTGACCTATGGCTGCGCCGACTGGCGCGTCATGGTCAGCGAGATGCCGGCCGACACCCCCGGCGGCTCACCGGGCGAGACCCAAGTCGTTGGCGTTGTCATGATCCACGGCGCCGTCCGCGCCCACGCCATGTCGGCCAGTGGCCGGTACGCCAAAGTTGGCGCCGCCAACCGCTGCCTCGCCCTTCTCGCCGACATGTCCGTCGACGAGTACAAGACGTCTTTTTCGTGCCAGTGCAAGCCCGAAGATGTGGCTGGGAGCGATGCCAACAAGCACGCCACTGCCGTCTGATGATGGTCATGGGGGTGCAGGGATGCAGGAATGGAGCGGAGCATCCTTTTCGTATTCTCGTCCAGAGCACGGCAGATTTTCCTTGATATGTTTTCGCTGGGGCAACGTCCCGTGGGACGGCAGAACCGCTTAGAACTGATAGAACAGAAAGAAGAAGAAAGAATTTTGTAACGTGAATGTGAATTATGCAAAGAAATGTTCCACACGTTGTGTAGTTGTAACAATCTTTCCCAGACTTTTTATGAACAGAGAATGTCTAAATATGCTGTTGAATGTCGTATCTACCAACTATATCTAGCCATAAATGTTGGATAGTTTAGTCCGTGTCCAGATCGACCTCGGCGCTGCCCAAGATACGAAAAATATTATTTCTAAAGTAGTATCCGCAGAATCATCTGCGGCTAGCTGCAGAACTCTGACAAAAGGGGGATAAAAAATTATAGTGAAACGATGTGGTTTCGGTATGCTCATCCGTCGTATCCTGATGCTTTCTGTACAGGAACTTGCCAGATGCGAACAGGTAAGTAACAAATCAAAAACAAACAAAAGGGGGTATACAATTGTCATGCCAAACCCGAAAAGCCAAACGCCAAATTCTTTTCTCTTTTGACCTTTCATGAATCCTCCTGTTTGGCTGGGTAAAAAGAAAAAAAAGAAAAGAAAAAGAAAGTGATATCTCGTTCATTCAATCAAGGTCTGCGTCGAAGCCTGCGACATCGTATCTTCGTAACCGGGCCACCTCCTTGCCCTTGCCCTTACCGCTGTCGCTGCGGAGCCGAATGGTCGAGCCGCTTGCGCCGCTCATTCCACTCATGCCACTCAGACGCTTTCGCCTCCTATCCTCGGCGCGCGACCTCAAGGCGGCTGGGAGTTCCACCTGAGGTATTTCCCGTTCTTCTTCAACAATGACTTGTTCGCGACTCGTATACCTCGTGGGGCGGTATGGAAATGACGGATTCGAGCGTCTAGTCATTGGGATATCAAACGACAATTCATCATCGCTGTCGTCACTGGCAGCCCGCCAATCCACATCGTCGCTTGAGTCAGAGTCTTCATAATACCGAGCGGGAGCCTGGTGACGAGAACGGCGGGGTCGAGTAGCTTGTTTATGTTCGGCCATCATGAGCTTGTATTTCTGCAGGAGAAGATCATCGGAAACTCTAGTCTTTGGTTTTGAAGGCTTGTAGCTCAATCTTGGTGGTGAGTTGGGCACGTAAAGCGGAGCGTCCGTGTCGATGGCGCCATTGAGACCAGGTAAACCGAAGCCACTCATGGCAAAACCATCATCCCGGAAAAGCAAATGCTCCTCACCCGCGCCTCGAGACTGACGAGGAGCGTGCTCATCGTCATCGTCCGAAACATAGTCATAAATATTAAAGTTGGTTGGTTGTTTCTTAGTTTGTTGCTGCAGCCTTCGTGCAGAACGTGGAGGTGGTGATGGTGGTTGCCCGCTTACAGGATAGAGGCTGTCCGGTGCTGCGGGAGTTGACAGAGAATCGTGGCTAAAGTTGAGATCCTTGGCAAAAGGTGAAAGATCGATAGATGTATTGGCGGTATGTCGCGACTGGGGCCGGAAGGGATTCGAGCTTAAACTCGTTGCCGAAGTTGACTCCATGGACCACCGACGAATACTACTGCTTCTCTCCGGGATATCCTCCGAGTCGACGCGCATCAGTGCTTTGCTAGACAAAAGCTCCGGGCTTCTGTTGGCACGTGTATTTGTCTTTACAGTGAGTAGTCGGTCTCGGCCAGCTCCATGTTGTTTGGGCAAGGGCTTCTCAGGTGCAAATGCTGAAAAGTGTAACTCGGCTGGGAAGTCTTGGCTGCCCGTTGTGCTTGCACGGCGGCGGTGAGTCCGTGGCTCGGCAGCCGCACTGCGAGAACGAATGCGAATCGCCTCATCATCCAGATCGTCGCGGCGTTTAGTGAATGCCTGCAAGCTCTGAAGACTTAGGCGTTTTGAAGGTTTCTGGTCCATCTCCGCTGCTGATGATTGGGTGGACTTTTTCCTTTCCGCATCCCTTGGTCCATTGCTTGTCGAGCCCGAACCCGAGCCCGTGGAGGGTTCGTTATTAATGCGGCTGGCATGATCTCGACTGCTGATACCATTTGCGCTTGCCGGCTTTTCTTTGCTTTGTGCATCCTTGGTCGAAGGCCTCTGGATCAGTGATGGTCTCGACCTAGAACGCTCTCTGGATTCGATGCTGCCGAACGCGTCGTCCCTCTTGACTCTCAATGAGTCTGGGAAAGTATCCAATTCATCATCACGTTTCTTTCCAGTAGAGGCCATGTAAGACGGCAGCGATTTACGCCATTCTGCCTTGATGGAAGCGACCAACCCTCCACCATCCTCGTCGATGCGGACACGACTCCTCGGACGCGAGTCTGCATGGACTGATTTTCGATTTGAACTGTGTCTGGTTACAGCGACATCAGAGACCATGGACCTTGTCCGCAAGCTTGAGCCGAGCGAGTGGCGCTTCAATAATTTGATATCTTTTTCGCTTTCCGGCTCAGGCTCCTCGTGAACAGATGGTATGAAAGATGTCGGCCGGCTACCAATACTTGGCGCGGCAAACGAAGCTCGAGAGCCCGGAGCATGCAAGTTTGGAGTGCTCTCGACCAAATTCCTGTCGGCCACATCCTCACCATAGTCCCTCACTCCGTTTGCCTGCACCCGTTGGCGAAAGTCTGCAGGATTGATCCCTGCTTGTGCGTCGAGCAGGTCGACATGGCCGTTGGCAAGACCGAGCTGGCTGCTGTTGACCGAAGAAGATCTTCTGCGAGCGAACGGGGGTAGAGGCTTGTCAAGGTCGGGCAGGTCGGGAAGTGACTTGTCCGTCTTGTCGAGCAATTTCCACGGCGCTCGGGATTTGAAGCTGCTGGCGCTCGGACTCGGTTCTGGCTTGTCGGGCACTCGATACGGCGGCCGTGATTTTGATGACAGCGGCAGTGGCGGTAAGACGAGCGGAAGCGCAGGTACCGGGTTTGTCTTCATGGAACTCGTTCTCCGCGAAGAGGACCATGTTTGCCTGTCTTGAGAGGGCGCGGTGCGCGGCCGGTCGACCTTGTCGTCCAGTAGAGAAGAGGATGCGACAGAAGCAGAAGACGGGGGGTTTGGCAAATCTTTTGCTCTGGGACGCGTACGTTGCAGAGTCTCTAGATTGTTAGGGCCATTGCCGGCTACCGGGACAGTTCCTAGACAAAAGTCAATCACTAAAGTTCGAATGAGGATATACGGCGACAAGTAAGGTAAGTACCGCGGATGGGAGGCAGCGACGCCACTGTGGCATTGTATGGTTGTGCTCTTAGCGAATCGGCAACGTCGATTGTAGGAGCAGCCGGCTTCCTGGATAGGAAGCCTAACAAGCCCATGATTGCTTCTTGTCGACAGCCATGCGCAGCTATGCGAGCACGTCGTCCAATGCCGATATTTTGATCGTATTAAGAAGAGTTGTTGTTGTTGTGCAGAAAAGCCACCCAAATCCCGCCAAAGATCCGACAATATAGCCAATGGCGGGGGTTTTATCTGGTTATAGGTCCAATCGATGATGCTTTCGATGCCATGCACTATTGCGATTGGGCAAGCTGTATGTAAGACGGCCTCAGCTGGCAGCAATATGGGTAGATGAGCGCAATCACCAATTCTCGTCACCCAGAATAATAGAAGAATAAAAAAAAAGTTGCAGTCAAGAATGCTGGTGTGTGGTAAGACAAAACAAACAGGAGAGGGAATAAAAGATGTTTCTCAGGGAGAGCCGCACGCCCACCGACACATAACGTAAAGAGGAAAAGAGGGAAAACCAACCAGTCCTCAATAAATGCTAGTACGTACACGCAATACACGACCGCAGAGGGACAAGACAAGACAGGGATGGTAGAACGAAAAGGGACAGTCGAAACGAAACTTTCTCGATGAGACTGCGTCGAACAGAAGGGGCCAAGAGGGCCCTGGTGCAGAGGCACAGAGCAGCAGTCTGGCCTAGTTCTGGCCCGGCGTCATGAGCTAATAGCCTTCCAGGTGGTTTTTTTCTTCTGGGTGGTCCTGGGGGGGAAGGATGAAGGACCGGGGGGTGATGATGATAAAGGGCACGATCCTGGTACCTTGCTCGCATTTACATTGCATGCATCCAGTCGGTACCTGATGCCCAGGGCCTACATGCTGCAAAATGTAGGTACAGAGTCTGCCAATGAACAATGAGGGACCATATACACTACACTAAATATCTACGTAACTTGATTACTCGCTCAGTCCTGGTAGTGATCCTCCGCCTTGGATCCATCAAAGGCATGTTGGATACTACCTAGAAATGTGGCACCCCTATTTTCCGCCCGTGTAGCGCAATACAGTACTATAGGTATGTATGTAGTACGTAGTTGGCAGTGGGCAGTGGGCAGTGGGCAGTGGGCATTGTGTGTACAGATTCGGGTGTGGTGGATTATGTAGGTAGGTACTCTGTAGGTAGGCCAAGTAAGGGACGGGACTTGGGGCCACGCTCAGCATGCAAGGGAAAGAGACGAGTCGTTTTTCTGGCGGGGAATCGGAAATCGATGTCGCCATAGACGTTACGTCTTGAAGCACATGGAGACATTAAGCTTCGGGGGGGGGGACAAGGTACGCACAAACCAAACAGACGCATCAGAATGGGCTTGACTGGTAGGGAGGAGACTCAGTAAGAAGATATCAAAGTTTGGTCCGAGCCAAATACTTGTTGGTCCGAAAAAAGAATACAACAACGCAGCGTGGGACTGGAGAGGGGCACCCGTAGACGGGCAGTGGCACCCCTGGAGCAGCCGTTTGGATGAATGCGCAGATAGTCCGCAGACCTACAAGTTGACGAAGAGGGCTTGTGCTTTTCTTCTTTCCTTTGCATGGACGGGCTCGAGTGGTATGTATGTCGTCCTGGAACGGTATTTAATATGGACATTGCTACAGCTAATACCACGATAGTACTACACCAATCTCCAGTAATAATGACAACTTACAAGTGACAGAAATATAGCTACCGTCAAGAGTGGGGAAACGAGAACCAAAAGCTCTTTTTGCTTTCTCGCCCGCGGGTGACTACGATGAAATGCAATGGTATTGTACTTGTCATGTATGATGAACCTATAAAACGACGTATTTGGAGTACTTATGTCGTTGGCCAATAGACACCTCTTTTTTTTCCTTTCTTCTTCTCTGGCGCCGACGGGCGGGTAGACAGCGAGACAGACAGCCAAACGGGGGCATACCAACACCGAGACTTGCAGCCAAGAAAAGACAATATCTGAATCGGAAGCGTTCAATTCAGCTCTGGCCGTTGGAACGCCACGAGAATTCCCCTCTGCAGGCGTCGCGGGTAGATTGCTTTTTCTTTTCCGTGTTTCTTCTTTCTTGCAATTCTCGCGGCTTTGCTCATCCCCCCACTGACCGCTTAGATCTCCAAGAGCCGAACGCTAAGATCTGTCAAAAAAAGAAAGCAATTTCCAAACGACCCTCCAGACGCGCCGACTTGCACCTGTAGATCGGACCCAGGAGGATCAATTCGGTCGAATTACCCCTGTTTCCTGGCGATACCACTTCCAACTTCGGAGGTTATATAACCTTTTGTGGAATGGCCTTTCCGCGATCCTCCAAAAAAACGCATCCTTGACATCCCTGCTCCCCTACCGGACTAGGTGCCCCTGCTGTCTCCATCTGGTCTTTTGTCTTATTACTCTGTATCAAAATCCCCATATGTCCAGAGACAAAAAGGTCATGACATGCTATTGCAGCTGCTCTCGATTCCTTGGTAAGAAACTGCCCATCGCATAACGCGGGGTGCTGCTTGAGGGGGGAACCAAAGAAGAAGAAGAAGAAGAAGAAGAAAATTGGGCTTGAGACCATATACGTCTACGCCACCACAAGCCCTCTGCCGGGCGCAAGAAAACTGGAACTGACGCGCATAGCAGCACGATAGGTTCTTCAGTGGTCAGCATTTACTATACGTAGTGACAGAATTCAAAAGTCAGCAGTATATCGGGTCGGAGCTACTCTCTAGCGTGTGAAGTACCTGAATGCCCCGCCGATGCGTGATCGACTACAATTAGATTCACGCTTGCCTTCTGAACAGGTGTGCAAGTCGGAGCCGTTTGGCAGATAGCCTAGACACCAGTAGGGGTAGAAATGGCAGCCAGCACCCGCGCATATCATGACCATCAGCTTGTGCGGGAGCACGGGCGGGAGCACCGCAAGCTAGCAACCTGGCTATCGTGACTTGTGATATTACATCAAGGTAGAGAGAAAGGCAAGTTTACAATCTAGAGGTAGTAAGATGCCATTTCATCTCATTTACGGCAAGGACATCGTTTCCGTCAAGGGAAGGAAACAAAGCCATCTCGATTCGAAGATTTCGTGATGCCAAAGCTTCCACCCCTGCTCTGCTCCATAAACATGCTGGGGTAAGACTCCATCTGCCTGCGTCGCAGAATTTCTTCAAGAGCAAGGGGGAGGAAAAGGAACTCGCGTCTGGCGTTTGCTACCAGCCCAACGGGTTGCATGTACATAGTATGTATGGCTCATGTGGATTCATAATGTAACTTCTTGTTCCTGATCAACTCCTCGCTTGCGTCTTCTGCTCAACTACCTTTAATTAAGGCACACTTGCCTTACCCATATCTCCATACAACATGAGTGGATGTGTGGACGAAGAATGGAGCATTGACAATTGCATGCCTGTCTAGAGGCAAAAGGCAGTACGTGTGTATTATGGCATCAAAGCTCCATGTGTTTTCAAGGTCACTTTCAATTCGACCAGCTGGCTCATTTCTGGATTAGACGGGTTGGTGCCTCCTCGCCTGTGCTACACTACGGGATGCGGATGCGCAGGCCCAAGACGAATCAATGACAAAAGTCCCAGAGCATGTCGAGTCAGGCACAGAGAAAAAGCTCCAACTTAGGGAGCACCGCCAGGAGCACCTTATTAACATAGGTGAGATGAGATGGGATAGTGAACAAACAGCTACCACCGGCAAACTACTGCTACCACTTAACCACGTGTAAATCCTGAACCGGCGCGAAACATTTTTAGCTCGATCCAAGAAACGACCTTTTCTGGTAACTGCCCGTCAAACATCCAAGGTACTATAGGAGAGAGATCGCTCGGCTCCGCGGAATCCTCCGACAATCAGTCATCTACCTGGACCTGACCCTAGGCAGGGTTGCAATTTGCCAAGTGCCCGATTCGTGACAATACGTCCCGACTCCCAAATTTTATTCTACTCCATACTCGATAGTCTTGATGATCAGGTGAGTGAGCAGCGACCAACAGCTACTACAAGCTTTTTTTTCTCTTTCTTTTTTTTTCATCGTCTTCTTATTTTGTCCACTTGGGTAAGGCTAGCAGCTTAAGCATTTGACCGAATTCAGTGAGGAATAAGCATAGTCGGTCGATCTGAATGCATGTCGCCAGCAAACGCAACACCCGATGTGATATATTCCGCAATTGTCGCGGCAGTCTGCCGCAGGTTGCATGTAATACACACACACACATGTCCATGACCAAAAGCTCTCTTCCCCCTTCTCCCCCTCTCCCTGTCTCCTCCAGACCGTATGCGTTTTCTTCATCATTCTAGTCTACTCCTCCACTCTATAACACATGCGACTGATAACCAAGCGATCGATGCAGGGTCCCAGCTCCCAGACTTGTCTACATTAAGCTGTTCAGGCCCCAGCTCACCTAGCTTTTTAGCTCAGATAGTTGGCGCCACCTGAAAGACGACTTGACGATTTTACTACTACCTGCCTGCCAACTCTCACTCTCCACGTTTGTCGTCCGCCCGTCCTGCACGAACCCGCCTGTCAAAGCGGAGCTGGAATAAAATACCCGCTCCCAAAATTTACTACCATCTCAAGCGTGTTACCACTTTTGATCAAAATCGGCTGATGTTCAAGATTGTGGTCGCTTCTAGCTTCTCAAAGCTCACTCTTCCATTTCCTCTCAGCTCCTCCTCAGCTTTTCCCCTCTCTCATGACCTAGACGCGTTTTGTTCATCCACGAAAGGTGGCTGGGCCGAGCTGAGCTGAGCCGTAGGTAGTAGTAGAAGTGCGGGACACATACATTTTGTACTACATTGTACTACTTGCACACAATCCACCTGGTTGGGTTCACGGGTCCAGAGCAAAGAACCGGAAGCCATTTTACCCACTTTGGAATCAAGAGAAAGGGATCTACCTACAATCTGCCTACTACCATAGTTAAACTAACCTAGTACTGAGCTTCCTCGTGCGTAAATTGGCATCTCTTGCCGGGTCAGCACTGTCACTGATTTGATAACTCCGAGCAAGTCGAGCCGAGCCAGAGGGGGAACCCTCCATGTACAATCGGTTGTAGATGTGTTAATTGGGGATATGGGGGACCAGCCGAGCTTGATATTGAGCCCATTTGTAAACAGCGCCGAAAACAGTCACGACTATATTTGTATGAACATGATAACGATAAGAAGTTCTTTTGGAATAACATGTGGCCAATGCCTTGATATCCACGAGAGCAACGGAGTAAGATCACACAAAACCCGATGCCATGACAGGCCAATCATATCGTCAATGACAACGCTGTCTACCACCAGGCCGAGGTGAAGTTGGTATGGAGGAAAATCCGCCTCGAGATCAGGCTCGCCAAAACACTGGGGGACTGATGTCTCGAGCGGTATAATTACTTCCCTATCTAGCATATATTTCAAAAAGGGCCAGTATTTGTAATTACAACAGATTTATACAAAAAACCATGACACTCCTCTTTTTTCTGGGCTTGCTGGAAACCTGACCTCAAGAACCAAACGCCTCGGGATGCAACAATCCAGTTGTTGATGTCTGTCCTTCAAACTCCAGGCTTTTTTGTTTCCCCAACTGACGATCGTCCCAAACCAGTGGTGACCCGCCCTCTAAAGACCGACCTTTGATTCCAGGTCTCTTGAAAGCACCTGCCGAAGCGTCATGACCGTCTTGACCAGAGACGAAGGGATAATCAAAGAAAAACCACGCCACGAGCTTCGCACTGTCCGTGACCAACCACACGACGACAGCAAACGCGATTAGAGCTACATTCCTCAACTAGGCGGTCATGCCCGTTTCGCGTTGATGTTTGACAATGTAATAAGTGATGAGATTCTTTGGGTCGTCCTTCAGTCCCTTGATACTGTCCCAAAACCTCTGCTCGCCGACTCTGGCGTGCAACTGAACGCACAGGTGCACAGCGTCCATCCGAACGCCACTCTCCTTGCTGTCTAGACACCTTGCAGACAAGGTGCACATGCCCTGAAGCTCACTCTCGCTAGGGTCGTAGTCGGCGTGGTTCTCGACGAGCTGCTTCATAATGTGGAGGCCCATCTGTAGGCTGCGACCACTACGGGCATCCGCTTTTTCCAGTAACGACTCGCAGCGCCGGGTCATGGAGACAGCAATCGTGGGCGCATCCCCCAACTTGGCAAGCTCTTCCGCCAGGAGCTCGAGACCTGACACAATGTGTGTGCGTGCATCGTAATTGGCACGAGTAGTAATCAGTGCTTCGAGCCCGCGCGAGACATGAGGCTGGAAATTGTCTCGAGCATTCTTCAACAACAGTTTTGTTGTCGCAAGGATTTGAGCCTTCACATCTTGGATCTTCGTATTCTCTAGGGAGTCTAGAGGTGCCTCCAGGTATTCGAACAATCCCAGAAGAAGAGCATCAAATGAGCTGTCTGATGGGATCGACTTGGGGTCCCGTAGGATTGACTGCAGTTTGCGGAAGCCATGGACGTCAAGGGTCTGTGCCTTGACACGCTTAATACCACTGTCAAGTAGTCGAGCGTTTGGGCCAGACTTGTCTGCAGACAGCGTGATCGGCGTCGCATCATTTCCGTTGGGCAGCCCGGATAGCTGCGCCGCATCTGCATTGACAGGCTTATCTTCGAGTACAGGGCGTTCTGGACTTGCGCTCACAGTTGGCTTTGGCGTCGCCTGATCCTCTGTAAAGGGGTCTTCGTATACTGTCAGAGATTTGGAGGGTGTTTGTGCTGGTGTGGGAGCGCCTTCTGTTGCAATTGCATCGTCCACACTTGCTGGTTCCGCAGCATGGTCATCTTCTTCTGGCACAACAATTTCGGGCGTAATGATTGTTGGTGCTTCTGGCGGGCTTTGTGGCACGTTTGCACTCTCTGTCACGGTGTCAATGCTGGGAACTTCCAATGTCAAATCCTCATTTGCCTCAGTAGCCTTTGACGGGCTACTTGGAAGAAGATTTGATACTGTAGCCTTGACTTTTGCTGGACTAGTTCTCGGGGAGACGAGTATTGGCGCAGTCTTACTGTGAAGCGGTCTCGGGGGAGAAGTAATACCAGTCTCGCTACGGGTTGGTTGGTGTCCAGGCTTGCTCTTTGGCGCCGTCCTTTTAGGAGACCCCAAGATTGTCTTGGATGCCAGTGGCTTTGACTTCACATCAGGAGGGCTTGCGCGGGTATCGTGGTTTCTACCAGAATACGGGCCTGCAGTTGCGGGTCTTGGGGCCATTTCTGGGCGCCTTTTTGCAGGCCGCATGGGTGCAGCAGATATGCCAGCATGCGATTTGCCTGCAGTGTCTGACCTTGGTCTCGTCGTGGACGGTGCAGCTCCGGAGGCTGTGGAAACGGTGGTTGTGGTTGATGTAGTCCGCGCCGGAGACACCGCAGCCATGGCAGAGCCCGGTCGTGGTGGCAATGTCTTGGTTGTCAAGGCCCTCTTCTGGGCCATCATGGTTTCCCTGAGTGAAGGCTTCGAGGTCGTACCAATAGTGCTCTTCGAGAAGCCGAGTCCAGGTCGCGGTGCAGGTTCAGCCTTGGCTGTCGAATTCGGGTTGTTTACGTCTTTTTGGAGGAGTTTTTGAGCCGAACCATCAAGCCCATTCATAATTCTTGCAAAGAGTTAGCGAACCAAATCATTACTACACAGTACAATGATTATACTCACTTTTCAGCCTGGCTAGGCCAAATTGGAGCAAAGGTCCAGTATGTAGCACGCATTTCCGCCCTTACCCCTGGATTGGCATCAGTCAAGCCCTTTTTGATGCATTTCTCGAGCAGATCGAGACCGCCAGAATGCTCAATATGACTTTTGTGGTGACCCTCCTTCTTGATCAGCGTCGTGAGCCAACCACTGACATATGTTCTTGGCTGAACATTCTTGTCCTGGCAGGCCATCCACATGTGTTGCATGATCCTAGCATTGTATGTGACCCGACCCACGATGGTGCTCACAGTTGTATTTGCGAGCTGAGAAGCGATTTTCTTGGTATTGGCTGTCGCTTTGACAAACGTCTGCATGAACAGTTCAACCATTGGATCCATGCCCGGCCCAAACGTGTTGGCGATATCCTGGACCAGGGCGCATGACTCCTTTGAAAGACTGGTTCTCAGAGACGTTACGCCTTTTATGATCCCATCTTGCAGAGCCTTGCACTCCTGCAGGAAAGGGGCAGCGAAATCGGATGGCACATTTCCAGCGATGAGTCTGCGTAGCTTAGTGATGCTCTCCTCACGCTTTAGCCAATTTTGTTCCGTCTCCCTGCCATCAAACCAAATGTGCATCTCCCTAAAGATCTCATCTAGTTCCCGGTTTGTGTTGACATAGGATGGCTCGACCGAGTCTGCCTTTGCCTCGGGTGGGGCAGGGGTATTTGATCTTTCGGGGCCAAGCGACGAAACGCTTGCAGTCATTTTTGGTCGTACCAGTGGTGCCGAGTCGGGTCGCGTTTCAGGTTCGATCCGGGAAGCAGAAGTCGGAGCCAGCTCCTTTACGATGGCGGCCTCAATTGCTGGTCGCACCTTGAAGTTCTTGAGCTGTTTCTTCAAATCCGATTTGGCTGGGTTGGAGGCATCCCTAGACTAGGTTAACATTTAGAACCACGGCGACTGGGTTGCAAACATGCCTAAAGAGCTCGATCACGGTGCCCTTGGCTGTTTCCCGCACCATTCCGTCAGCGTCCTCTAATAATTCCATCAGGGTTGGCACAAATGCCCTGAATGGCATGTCGTGATCCTTGTGCATCTGATATCTTGTAAGCCACCTATCGGATACTCGCGCTTCTACGCAAATGTAGGGACACATCTTTCAAGGGCACGGCGTACCTGAAGTAACCACTGCATTCCTGATTCCTTTGCTCTTGAGCTCTTTCCTGCCATGGCAACATTGCGCACAAATCTTTCGGCCTCGGTAGGTGTTACTAAGTACATGGTTGTCATGGCCTGTATCGCGAGTGCCCTCAGCTTATCCCGCTGATCACCCAATTTGTCGACAACCAGGGGTAGGGTTGCTTTTGCTTCCTTGATGATGTACTTGGGTTCCTGGCGCGAGAGGCGCGTGAGCAGATGGTTGAGCGCAGTAAAGCCGGCATTGGCGAGGATCGCGTGTTGCGACATGGAGGCAATTCGCAGGGCTTCGAAGAGCGGCTGGACACAGGAGTCAGGCACAGTGTGCTGCTTGATGCCGGACTTGACGGTCGTCACGGCCTGGGACTTGATGTCTACAGAGACATCTTTGCGCAAAATCACCAACAGGTCGGCGACCTGCTGGTCAGTTATTCTCTCTGCCATGCCCTAGATTGGGGGGGAGGCAGGGAGTGTTGCGAAATAAATTTCTAGAGTATTCCTGTGGTCAGTCGTACAAGTTCGGATCAGACTGTTATTATTGGAGAGACGCGGAAGGCGGCGCCGAATGAAGGTGAAGCGGGCGCGTCGTTGGAGAAAAGGGGCAGAATTGCCGTCGCGCAATGTAGTGTGTGGTGCGACATACCGATTGATTGTTATTGACAATTGTGATTGTTTTGCGATTCTGCGACTCGATGCACAGGTCGGAGCATGGAAGGCTGTGAGCAAGCTATCGAGTCAACGGATGCGATATGCAAAAGGGGGCGATTGGAAAAGCGGCGGTTCGATTTCGCGAGTTGTTTTTGTTTGTTGGCATCCAAAGAAAAAAGAAGCAAGTTTGGCGTGTCGGTGGTGATGTCGCTTCCCGTCGCAGCCTTTGCGAGACCGTGGTGTCTTTCTCTGTAATCAATGGAGATCAAGTCCAATGTTGTTCCAATGCGACCTAAACACCCCCACTCGAGCGACGCTAGTGAAGCTGCTCCAACTGGCCGAGCAACCATCAGTTGTTGTCAATAAAGGTTAAAGTACCAATATGCGCGATGGAGCTCGTTGAATGATCGCAATCATATAACTCTTGTACCATCTATTCGAAGTTTTGGGACATTCTTGTTACAGCATTCTGTCTTTTTCAACTATTGCGCACCATTTGGACTGAGGGGACATTAAAGTCTAGTGGCTTGAGATTCGGTCTCAAAAGCACAGTTCCCTTGAGGGCCCAGTGCCGCCCACGGTACATTAGTCGCAGGGATTGCGCCGTCCAAGACTCCGGATTCTTACTTAATAATAGACGTACTACTGAAATATACTGTGTAGTAGCCCCTCGAGGAGCCGCGAAAGGACGCGCCAACCCAGAACGGTACAGGCAAGATTGCAAGATTTCCAATGCATCCCAGAACCCCGAGGGCGAAAAAAACTGGCGCTAGGGGAGGGGCAATGGCTCCGTCTTGGCCGTCTGTCTATCAGGGACCAAAGGAACACGCGAGACATTGACAAGGGATATGAGCGGTCGCGGGGCAAAGCTTTTGCCTCCACCTACCATAGACGGTAACCCTACCTCTATATTACCGACCATAAAAACGTAGTCCCTGGCTACAGTACTATATTGCCAACTCATCTACCCTGCTTGAGGCCTTGTCCACCTATGAGAGGCGATTTGCCATGATGTGGAATACGAGTGAGATATATAAATCGTAGTATGAAACCTGTTTGCTGCGAAATAGCTTCGTGAAATCTTCTTTTTGTCTTGGACCGGACCAGACTGGTGTCACATGAACAGCAAGCCACGATCCGCATAAAACAGGCCCTAGGCCGACAAGTCATCTCTGCTGGCAACCATCGTCACGACTCATTGCTGTCCCTTGATACGTCCACCGTGTCCAAACCAAGGTATAATACAGGAGGCGATATTTACAAAGCAGTGATACTGGTTCCGCGCCTGTTTGAAATCACATCACCCACTGCTTATCTGTGCTTTACTTTGCCGTACCTCTTTTGTTCATTTTCCGATCAACGTCCGGCTTACTTTCTTCAAATCTATTAGACAAGCAAGTATATGCCTCTGCCACCGTTCAGCTCCGTGGCGCCCCGGCCCGAGCATCTCTTCATGCCGGCTGTATCCTATCAGATCGAGGCACCGTCCTCCACGGCGGCAGCACCAACGCCGTCACCGCTGCCTCTTCGTCTGGCCCCGGAGACGTCTACATCACAATCATTGACAAATGGCGGCGAGACCGCCGAGGCGCACAAGCCCTTTCCGGTGCCGAAACTCCGTCTGGAGATGCGGGACCTGAACCACGCAGGCGCCGGCATCTTTTTGCAAGCCATCAACGTCGCCGGCACCCTGCCGACGTGCGTGCAAAACGTGCTGCAAAAGCTGTACATGTCGCCCGGAGCGGCGGGCGCGCCACACTACTATCGGCCCCCGCCGACGCGTTCCGTGACGCTCGTGCTCCGCGACATGGGCGGCGGTGTCGCCTACACGACGGGTTCGGACCTTGACTCCGACCACAAGGAGATCCACTTCAACCTGGGCTACATTGCGGGCCTCGCACCTGAGCGCCGCACCGCAGAGATCACTGGCGTCCTCACCCATGAGCTGGTCCACTGCTACCAGCACACAGGTTACGGTTCGTGCCCGGGTGGCCTTGTCGAGGGCATTGCCGACTGGGTGCGCTTGAGATGTGACCTGGCGCCGCCGCACTGGGACAGCAAAAAGCCAGGCACCAGGTGGGACGGCGGATATCAACACACGGCTTATTTCCTTGCCTACTTGGAGAAAAGATTTGGTGAAGAGACTGTGCGGAAAATCAATGAGACCCTGAGGACAACCAGGTACGAGGAAAAGTCCTTTTGGACCGGGCAGCTGGGCAGACCAGTGGAGCAGCTTTTCGAGGACTACACGAGTGAACTGAAGAAAGAAGGCAATGTTACTGAGAGCGCTGAGAAGCGAGGAAAACAGGAGAACAAGGTTGACGAGGGTACGCAGACCTAGATATGTACTCTGCAGTAACCGAGATATCAAGTTCCCTGGTCAGCACGTTTGAATTTGCTGTACGCATAATAGAAGAGACATGTTTTCGCTCTAATAGCATATCAGCTCCCCTTAGTCGGTCGCCGTGGAGCAAGATACTATGATCAATCGAGATGGCTTCTGCAATTCAAGAATACAGTAATGCTGAATTGAAAGCGGTGGTACCCATGCCTAGTATACGAATCAAGTCCCATCTACGCCGATTACCAAGTCCCAATGTGCTTAAAATCCTTCCCTTTGACGCCATGCCTCCCAAAACAATAAGAAAGTATCCCTTGGACGATATATGGAGGTAGTCAGAATTGAAAGACTGCGGGTTTATTATGCACGAGCGGGGTGAGCACCGCCATCGCTCTCACTGATGACGCTGCCGACTTCTGTCCAGCTTGCCGGAGTGAGCATCCCCTCGTCATCACTCATAACATCATCGTGTCGACCAGATACAGAGTGAATCTCCTCGCCAATGTCCTCACCAGACCCTGCGAGGGAAGCCGAGTCTGTTGGTGTCAATTGTCCTTCACTAATGAGCTCTGGCTCGGACAGAGGACCTGCTGGCGAAACAGGGAGTGGAGAGTAGAAGCCACTGTGGGATGCTTCTGCCCAGGCTTGAATCGAGCTGTATGCCTCGTGTCTGTCTTCCTGTCCTGCTGTCATATATTCCTCGGGGCCGAGTTCGCGCTCCGAGACAGCAGAGACGGGTTCCGGCAGTGGTTGACGAGCCAGGGTATCAACATCAATCAAGTTGGAAGGAATGTGCTCTGGAGGTGCTGAAAGGGTGGCGCTAGTTTCACGGTCGTGATTGTCCTGGTGATCTTGCGAAACGCTGTAGATATCATCCAGCTCGTCCTTTTCTGGCTCCATCAAGCTGTTCTCAAGTGCAACATGCTCATCAATGCCGTGTTCGTCAGCAAAGGGATTCGTCAAGATGGAGTAATTTAGGCCTCGAGCACCCTCGCCACGGCGTCTGAGACCGCCTGCCTCGGCACCCTGGACATCAGCTCCGCTGTTGAAGATGAAGGCACCCTTCTCGTTGGTGGTATCCTTTTGCAAGAAATCATCAAAGCTCGAACCCCTAGATGCGGTTCTCCGTGGCTCAACTTGAGGGGTCTTTTCCTGATCCTTGATTTCCTGATTTCTCTTGGATTCGGCAATGGAATTCCAGTACATCAGCTCCTCCCTCTGTCGCCGCCTCGTCTCCTCGTCGGCATCGACGCCTTGCTCGTCGCCCCTGCGAATATCGATGCCGCGCGACAGCAAAAAGCCCTCGGCGTCCTCGGGGCGATTGTAGAGGTTCTCGCGTTCCTGCGGGGAAATGCTGTCGCCGAGAGAGTGCAGGGCGATGGCGATGCGCTGGCGCAGGTCTTCGGCGATGCGTCGCAGCTCTGGCGATTCGTAAATGGCGACGCCTACAGCGACGACAACGCCAACGGCTATCACGCCAGCTGAGAGGGCAGCATGGTTAATGGCAGGCATTTTTGCGTGTTTCAACGTCACATGCAACGGAAGAAAAATGGGGAAAAGAAGATGGTAATGATACGAAAATTGATGGTTCCAAAAAAGAAACAAGATGGCACAATACGGTTATTCTTTAACAGATACAAAGCAACAACATTTGATGAGACAGACGGGAAATAGCCGACTATTGGTCCTCGAGACCAAAGCCACGCAAGCAAGCTGGTTGATTTTGCCACCACTTTTGCAAGTACCCAGGCAAGGCAACCATATTTGTCAATCAACTGAGGAAGAGCTCCGGTTCAAGACGTCGCTCGTGCTTCCTTGTGGCACGAGCGCGGGGTAACTGACCACTGAACCTCGAGTGACAGCTCAGCTACCAGATCTTGGCCCTCCGCTGGAGAGAGAGGGGCACATGTGTGTTTGACAGCGGGACAGTGATACGATTGATTGATTGGCAGTAGAGCAAGCGACAGAATCTGGGAGGGAGGGAATTCAAAAGCAACTCACCTTTGACGGCAATAGGGATAGGCATTCTACTCCCAGGTGCGGATTTTGAGTGAATGTGCTTAGGTGCAAGAATAGAGGAAGAAAAGAAACAGGAATACATGCAAGAAGAAAAAAAAGGAAAAGGCTATGGTAGATGAATGCCTGCCCAGTGCCAGCCTACCTCACATTACCTCCGTCCATACCGACACAATTCAATAGCCGCCCAGCCTTAAATTCCTCCCTCTCGCCGGCTCTGAGGGAGAAAAGGCCCGGGTTCAAATCAAGGCGGGCGTGACGCACTGCAAGGCATTAACCAAGCCGCCATTACGTCCCTTTCTGCCCCTTAGTTCTTAGTTACTGCCAAACCTACTAGTAGCTAATGGCCAGAAAGGTATGTGGTGACATAACCTTCTACAAAGTCCTGCTACGAGCCTCAGCTGCAGTGTGTGTAAGCCTCGAACCTTAGATTTCGGCGCATCGGTGGTTTTCGATGAGTGACAGCAGTCATGATAGGTAATATGCCTGCCTTCTCTTATCTCACCAACCGCGATAACGACACACATATTGGCCCCGCAACCTGCAAGCACCAACAACCAACTTTCTCTCGAGGGCCTTGGCCAGCGTACATTGTTTTGTGGCAGTTGCCTCTACTGTAGGTCTTGGTTCATTGTCTGATATTTGAACTTACGCACAAATGATGATCATATACTACAACACACCAAGCTGAAACCTCTCCTAATTCTGTCATCTCATTATTTAGAGGTATCCAATGTAGTAATATAATAACCAAAGCCAGCCCGTCCGTGTCTGAGCGAAAAGACAAAAACAAAGGATGAATGATAATAGAAGTGCCATGATATTTAATGTATAGAGCACCAGAGGGCAAATTGTTGAAAAACACTATTTTCTCTTCTTGTTTTTTTTTTTTTCTCTCTTATTTTCTTCCTTTGGCATTTTTCTTAAAATCATTAATAAGATGACTTTAGCTATTCGCTGCGCAAATCGGTGTTTTTCAACAATTTGCCCTCTGGGCAACCGTAAATATCAGCAGAAGAAAGCGCAATCTTCAAGCTTGTATTGTCCAGTTTATCAACTTGTGAACCTCAAATTGCTTTCATGTTGTATAATGCCTTCAAAGACTTGCGCCTACTATACGCGTCAAATGATTGGTTCAATGTTACGGCAACCATGCCAAGCCTTTACTCTCCAACGTTCAACCTACAAAAGTTAGAAAGGTCAAATACCTCAAGAAGACGACATACGAAAATAAGGTAGTGTTGATAGACTCATGGACTGTTATTTACCATATACTACAAGTGACAGAAACACCAGCTCGTACTAATTCTAGCGTATCAGTGTACAGATTCACACAACCTGGGAAACTACATTTTAGGTGCTGATACCCACACATCCAAATCGTTCGGTCCTTTCCCCCCTACTACTACCTACCTACCACATCTTGTATCTTCATGTTCACCTTTAGATTGCCGTCAAAGAGTAGGAGAAAAAAAAAACCTCACCCAGTGGCGTATCGGGGTGAAACTCTTGTCCGTCCATGTAGAGGAGACGCAACCCATGTCAAACCGGGACAAGGCGAAAGACTGCCCATCTACGCGCGCGAGACCTTGTCTCACTTGCAGCCTCATCGATGAGACTGATCTTCCATGAATGGGCTCAGCGAACCTTGGTACCCAGTACAGAAAAGTCACGATATCCCAAGGAGCTGAAATGGTAGTATCGTCGGCAATATCCACTCGAGAGGCGACACTGAAAATTCCGCCTTTTGTTTCAACACCGTAGCTATCAAATATACTTTAGCTTGTGCTCGCTAGAATAGGTACACAGATACGAAGCTACTCTGTATATAGAACACTAATCACGGGCCTCGGCAAGCGGATCAAAGAGAGAGAAAAAAACAATAACAGTGTACATGGCGTTAAGGAAAAGAGCCAAGGTGAGCAAGCAGAGCGAGCAGCGCGCCAATGTTGCCCACCCAAAACCCCTTCGCCGTGCTCGCCGTACGTACACTACTGTCCTGGGTTAATAACCCCGAAGGCGTCCAGTCCAGTGCAGTGTTGGGTAATCTGAAATGACGCGGAAAGCTGGGAAGAACATGGCTGACCGGCTCCGCTGTGGAGCTGTACATTCCTCGTCGTATCGTTTTGAATCGTCAGGCAACGCCAAAGTAGCGCACTACAAAGAAAGTGGTGCATGAGTCGTGAGCGAGTCCGCTTCTGGCTCGGAGAGTTGTGTGTTGCCCCTTGGGGCCCATCACTTTCGTTGCCAACCCCTACTTTTTTTCGTGGGGAAAGAGAAATTCCTCCCGGATTCCATCTCGAAATCTCCAGGTTTTCTAAAACGTTCGGTTCTTCTTTTACGGTTTCCACTTAGTCAGTGCCAAGAGTTTTTGTGCTGTCAGGGTGTGGGATAATCTTCTTTCTCATTCGTTCGTCACTATCTATATACAGGTCCTGCCAAGACCAGAGAAAGAGGATAATAGGTAGAACCATACCAAGATTAAGTTGGAGGGTCCTGGGGATAAGGAGCAAATAAAAATAACTGCTGAAGATCCTAGCACCACTGAGGCAGGTATTCGCGGTGCGAGAAATCGTGCAACCAACGCCACCGGGCTATCCGTATCCTAGGATAGTGTACCGAAAACCGCAAAATGGGGAATAATTTTCCAACTCCACTAATAGATAAAAAAAAAAAATGCAGATATAAGAGGACAATGGGACACTCGAGGGGCGCCCATTGGCGAACGGCCCCTAGTCGGCGTCTCCACCAACCGCAAGGACAAGCTTTTGCGACAAGCGTCGGCCTATGTCGGTATTGCGCGAGTTCTAGAGTAGTGAACTCTTAGCTGGATCCAGTCCACTTTGTGAGAACGGGCCAGCTTGATTGTCCGTGATGGAAGGCAGAGAATATTGTAGCTGGAGAGACGCAGATGCAGACGTTCTAAGAGCATTTTTGCTTTGAACAATGTGCTTAGTGGCTGGAGGAGACAGACCCGGCCGATGAGGTCGTCTTGCTGGACGAGGTAGACATGTCCGAGTCGGTCCGAGTAATGCCAGGGTTGGCAGTGCGGTGCTTGTCGCTGTCGTAAATGTCAGATAAACTGGTTCTGAAGACTTTCTGATGAGTTCGTAATGGTAGTGACTTACTATGCGTGGCGGTCGCTGTGGAGAGTGCACTTCCACTTGCCTCCACCAGTCTTGAGGGTGAACTGGACGGGCTTGGTGTCAAGGACAGACTTGATATCTTGAGAAGGCATCTTGAATGGTGGTGTTGTTGTTTTGACTTTCAAATGAGTCGATTGAAGTTGTGTAGAGTTATGAAATTTGGTAAAAGTCGAAGACGGCAGCTCTTGAATTCAAAGTGATAGTGAGGAAGATCGGTAGACGAGTGAAGACCAGAAAGAATGAGATTAGTGATAGGGACAATCTGGATTATATAGGGAAATTTCCCAGCTCGCTGACCAGACCCGTAGCCCCAGATGAGGACCCCGAATTCTCCAGTATTGGTCAGATCGGTGCGTGATTTTAACGTTGTATCTTATTGTGGAGTATCCCGCGTCTCGTCATACAGCCAGAAAGGAAAACACCGAGAGTTTTGAGCACTTGTACCAATGGAATGAGCTCCTTCATCCTACCCAACCTGGATCAGATGCACCGGCGGCGGGACTACCCAACTAGCATTACGAACAAGCATCTTCCACACAGTACTAGTGTAGGGTAATTCGTGGGTTTTCTTTTGTGTTTACGAACTTGGCCTTTGCGTGCAGCGTGCTGCATCCCCAGCTCTGCTTTGGGATGGAGATCGTGTGCTTTGTGGGACAAATCGAGAACCACCTAGGTACTTGAATAGATACGGGTAGAGAGAGACAGGAGAGATGTGGCCTTTGTATCTCGAACAGTGATTGCGGGTACCTATATGCATCCGTACATATCACGTCGGCCAGAGGGAGAGAGCGCTTCAATCAGATATACACTGGTGAGATGAAAATACTTGGTGACTTGAGAGGTCGGTGAACACATGTACCTAGGGCAGTGTACATCATCTTAGCTGTTATTATTTGGTGTGTAGCATGAAGGAACCAACGGCAGCCTTGAAACTAGCTTCTAGAACTATTCCGATGTGTGCATACGCAAGCAAACTGTGCTGCTGCGAGAGGTGCTTGGCGATCCTAAAACCCGGCAGCTTGCTTTTTGGGAAGGGCTTTCCTAAAGGGATGGTTGTGCTCGACCGTGATTGGCTGTTTAGGGAAATGACAACCCCCATTTGTCACCTGCACTCTTTCCGATCCTCCGTGCCGGCGCACCAAATGAATGGGCTCGCGCGTTTCGCGGCCGGAGTTGCATTCGACGGCGAGCCGACCGACCTAATCAGTAGTACTGTTAGTCGTTTGCTGCTACGAGCATCACTAATAGAAAGGAAACATCGTAAATAGGGCAATTTCTCGGACTTTATTTTCTTCTTTCTCTCCCCATGTCCTCATGCTCTGTAGGCTGACCAACCCTTTCTGGATCTTTTTGCCTGGTACCTAATTGTCCCTCATGATGGCCACTATGACGAAAAGTGCGCCGCTTATCGTGGGACCCAACCTGGGGCGTGGAACCTGGGACAATGTGTTTTCCCACACGTTGGCCTGTCGGAGCCGATCCCGCTTACCATCTCGATGTGCAAGAGATGCTATGCCATTCTCCCTACCAATACGGAATGGAATGAATAGAATACCCACTGGGTTTGCGCGCCCTAGCTTTGCGCCTCGGTCGGTGCAATGCAGTGCTTATATCCGCCACATATGGAGCCCGTGGGGAAAGAGGGCACGGCTCAACCGAGACTCAATGCAGAGATGATAGGCGGCGGCACTTGAAGCAGGCCCAGCAACACTGCATTACTATGTACACACAGTCTGCAGTGCAATGCAATGCAACACGGCAGCACAGCGTTGGCTAAGTGATGGAGTCAGCTCAGAAAAAGCTGAGGAAACGACAGCCCTAAAAGCCTGAAAGTCCGCGCAACGAGGAAGGGTGCTTAGAGTCCTACAATCAGCCCTAAAGACTGACCGAGTAGAACCTGAGAATCAAGTCTCGTCACGACAGATCCCAAGTGCTCCACATGACAATTACCAAACCTGTGCTGAATTACTGGATCTACATACAGGACAAAGGTACCGAGGAAGTCTGTAGAACCATGCCGTACGGAATGTACCACAACAAGTAGATAGGTAACCTTCAGAGGCACGAGGGGGTGGAACTGTATGTAGGTACTTTATAGTGCGCGTACATGATGTTCAACGTGCTTTACGCATATTTGGCAACGATATGAATAGCCAGGGCGGCAGAGGATGCTGCATCAAATGAAGGCTACTGCCATGCGCTTGTCAATAGTCAAATGGCTTACATTGTAACATAGCATCGAGCTCGGAGTGTGGGGGTCACATCACGGCTGCAATCCATGAGATCTTGACAACGCCTGCTGAATGCTGGTATGATGTTCTCGATGCTCTTTGACGTGTATACCGATCGTCAACTTCATTTTGGCCATGCCATTGTGGTACCTGTCGCATGTCTTTGGGTTCTTTGGTTTTGTACTTCTTGCTCACCACGTAGGTACACACGCTGTCAAACTTTGGTCCACCACGTCTGAATATAATGCTCGTGCGCATGTGTAGATGATGATTAAGCGCACCTTCAAATGCATCTTCTCATGAAATGTGCGGTAGATATAGGACAGGTTCACTGCTCGAAGCGCAATGTGATTTGGCTCAAAATAGTATGTGGACTGCAACTCAAAAATTGGCCAGGAACGTGGATTGTGCATGTCGGTTTGCGCTTTGGGTCTTGTAATACTTGCAGCGTTTCTTTTCACGGAAAGGAACATGGCATAAGCAGTAAGAAGCAATTTCCAAGTTAAAACGTTACTTGGATATCAGCCCCATGATGTGTCACTTCCCGGAGCAATGTCATTAAGAGCATAGCATTCCTGTATTTGCTAGCTTAGCAATCGTTGTATCGATTTCGGGAACTCCCCTTACGTATAACCAGTAATATACGGTGTTTGTTTCTCATATCCAGTCCCAGGCTATTTTCCCAAGCAAACAATGGCCGCATGATTTGAAATGCAAATGAATCATGCAAAAGTCGTCTCAATTTCTTGTTGTACAGTCTACATCCTGACCAGCCCAACTTTACAGGGGAAAATATTATAGAGGATCATGTGGTATCTACAACTTGGAAATGATAGCGCCTGCGTAATCGGATGTGCTGGCCTTGCCGCCCAGATCACCAGTCAAGGCCTTTCCTTCGGCCAGGGTAGAGAAGGTGGCCTTCTCGATTCTGTCGGCGTACTCGCTAAGACCCATGTGTCTCAACATCATCATGGAGCTGAGCAGCAGGGCAGTGGGGTTGGCCTTGCCCTGGCCAGCAATGTCGGGAGCGGAACCGTGGACAGCCTCGAAGATGGAGCACTCGTCACCAATGTTACCCGAGGGGGTAAGACCCAGACCACCGATGAGACCGGCGCACATGTCGGAGAGAATGTCACCGTACAGGTTAGGCATGACGAGAACCTTGTCGTTGTAGGGAAGGGGGTCGGTAACCATCTTCAAGCAGGTGTTGTCGAGCAGCTCGGACTCGAACTCGATGCCAGGGAACTCCTTGGCAATCTCCTGGCCAATCTTGAGGAACAGACCATCGGACATCTTCATAATGGTAGCCTTGTGGACAACGCGGACCTTGTTGCGGCCAATCTCTTGGGCGTGCTGGAAGGCGAATCGCAGGACGCGCTCACTGGCCTCGCGGGTGATGAGCTTGATGCTCTGAACGACACCATCGACAACGACGTGCTCAATGCCCGAGTATTCACCCTCGGTGTTCTCTCGGATCAGGACGGTGTCGACGTTGTCGTAGGGGGTCTTGTAGCCTGCAACGGATCGGCAGGGACGCAGGTTGGCAAAGAGGTTAAAGGTTCGTCGCAGGGTGAGGTTGAGAGAGACGTGACCCTTGCCAACAGGAGTCTGGAGAAGAGTGTTAGTTCTACCCTTGTTTGGCTTTTCGCTCTTGTCTCCTGAACACAAGACCTACAGCAAGAGGACCCTTCAGGGCAACCTTGTTTCTTTGGATGCTTTCAATGGTCTCTGAAGGAATGGTCTGCTTGCCATCGACAAGGACGGGGGTAACATCGACGGGTTCCCAAGAAACGGGAGCCTAGGAAGTAGATTAGTACAGCGCTTTGAATGTCTAATGGCAATGGTTCTTTCCACTAACCTTGGCGGCAGCGAAAATGTCCTTCACGGCTTGCGAAATCTCCGGTCCAATACCATCACCCTCAATGAGGGAGACGGGGTAGTTTCCCTATGCACAGCATCAGCATCCTGCGACGTGTTGAATGGCGAGTGCCGTGGTGTTTGTTGCAATGCTCAGACGCATCCCCATCCGATCTTGTTGACTTTCGAGCTGAGTGATTTACGTCTCGAGATCGATCGCGGCGGGATGGTCTGGCATGCGTTGTAACGGATTTTCACGTACACTGGCATCCTTTTGGCCTGTGAACTTGGCGACCCTCTCGGAGTAGAACCTCTGCAGACTGTGTTAGTCCTTGTTGATGCGACCAAGCATTGTGGTAGCTTGCCTGGGAAAGAGTTGCGCCAACACGGGGAGCTGCGCGGAAGCATTGGCGGCGCGCAGGGGCCGAAATTGCTCGGAGGGTCAACATGATGTGAGATTTTGGGGCGATATGCACAGCTCAGCTCCTGGATGGTCGAGGGAGGATGCTGGTGTTTTTGAGGTCGACGTATGAATAACAAAAAGCTTTCGAGGGATTATCGGGTCGGTTTCAAAAGCACATGCACCGATAAACAAGCGAAGATCTGATAGCGGGTGTGCTCGGGTGAAAAGCGCGGCAGTGGAACTAGCAAGCTAGGAACATTAGCGGGCAATGCTGGTTTGCACGATATGTACTTAACGAGCACTGCATTCCACTAGGTCGTACGGAATCATTCATTATATGCTCATGCAGATTGGTGCTTGAGGGTGAATTGGTCTCTAATAAACAAAACTAATGGAGCTGTCATATTATGACCAGCTTTTGTCTCGTGTTGAGATATAAAATAAGTCTTGGTGTTAATGGTCATGTCTTTCCCATAAGGGCGGCCCTTGATATTATCCCGATTGCATTTTTACGGATGTTGGGTTGCCGAACCGACGCGAGCCAACTCTGCGGCTGCCACAGAAGTAATTGACAACCTGGAACTGACGCAGCCCAGTCCTCCCCTGTCCAAAGCGCTGCTTGAAAATGTATGGACTCCGCTAGACGGGAAGCAGATTTAGCGCGTTGCGGCGATTAGAGATTGAGCTACAGCTCACTTAACCTACAGTAGGTAGGTAGGTACCTATTGTAGCGACCAGGGTCCCCTCAACGTCTCAAGTCTGGCTTTAGTCGCATCAACACCCAATACAAACACCTTCGAGTCGAGCTATCCCGAACCTTCACTCCTCTTTATTGGATTTCTTGAGAACGAGTTGGATCTACGCCTTGGAACCTCGTATCCTTCGACGCCAGCCCATGGTCGACTGGCATCAAACATGCTAGTTTCCGCAGTACCTGAACCCCTATGAGCAGCGATGGCCACTACCGACTTCAAACGCAACGTGCTCGAATTCTACGGCCTGTCGACCGAGTTTCCACAAGAATGGCCATCCGACAAGGACAAGAGCGATGCTTCTGACAGCGAACAGGAGGTTAAAAAGCAGAAGATTCAACGCAGGAAGTCCCGCTACCAAGCCCTCGAACGTGCCGTCAGCACAAGATCGAGCGTCTTGGGCGGTGACAAGTCCGTGAGCAGTCTGCTCAGTCGCGACGAACCGGACCCATTGGGCGGCAGCGACAGCGTAGTGAGATCTTTGATACAGTTTGGTGTACCTATAAAGGAAGACACTCGACTTCGCACAAAGTTCTTGTTATCGTCTACCAACTTCTCTCCGTCTCTGTTTCTATCCCAGCTGCACTCCTTGGACGACACAAGATCCCTCGAAGCCGGTCTAGATAATCTGTCCCAGTCCATCGACCAGAAATCTGCATCCCTGAAAGTCTTGGTGGAGTCCAACTTTGAGCGTTTCGTCAGGGCCAAAGCCACCATTGATAATGTCTACAAGGAAATGAAGTACAGAGGTGCAGAACCGCCCCCCCCCTCACGAGCTCGCGCCCACTCCAGACATGCCAGCAGGAGCAGTTTCAGGAACAGCATTAGCGGTGCAAATCTTGGAAACAACCCTCTGACCCCCGTCACTCCTGCTTCACCCGGCACCGATGCTAGAAAGAAGAATGCGCTCATCAAGGAGAGCGACTACGGCGTGGCAGGAATTAAAACCCCTCTCCTCGACGTGTCTGCAAAGGCAGAGGATGTCTGGGGGCCAGCCTTGGGTGGCAGGGAGAAGGAGGAGAACTTGCGAACTGTTCAAACGTCGTTGGAACGCTACAAGGATTATATCGAGGCAAGCTCCAATGTCGCAGACAGCATCAAGCGCAAGGACTATGAGACATTGATCGAAGAGTTCTCCCGTGCTCGGAAGTTCGCGGACGATGCACGAAAATTGGTTCAGAATCTCGGCTCGACTGCTCCTAGCGAAAGCCAGACATATCAAATTCTCCTAGCCGCGAGAATGTGGCACGATGTGGACGATCAGATCCAGGCTTTCAAGCGTGACGTTTGGAAAAGACTCATCACATCACACACCGCTTCCAAGACCGAGAATCTCGCTGGGCGCCCGCAGGATCAACACATGGAGCTCATCGGCTTGCTACTCGAATTGGGCGTCGAAGACAATCCCATTTGGGTTTGGTTACTTAGCCGGTACGATTACCTAAAGGGAAAGATCTCGTCCATGTCAGATAGAGCAAAAGTTGAGATTGAGGTTTTGCGGAGGCGGCTGGCAAATGGTGACAAGCCTGCACCGCAGACCGTAGCGGCACATCTGAGAACGCTGGGCCGTCAGTCAGTCGAGGGTAAACCCAGCGGTATTGATTCGGCGGATGTTACTGAGCTTTGGGAGAAGATGCTGTCGTTCTTGACTACGCTTCTTTCGCCTCAAGGGGTCCTCGGTGAGGTTCTGGAGTTTTGGCAGACTGTGGAAGGCTTCATTGACGGGAAGACGCAAAAGTCCTTGCCCGTGGGCTACAACGCCGAGTCTCGTGAGCATCACCGCTTTTCTGAGCAGAATACGCTGGAACTACGCAAGGGGACCGTCGAGCTCGTCGACATGATTCGACAACATGTACTCGAATTCTTTACAGGTGCTCCTCCGGAGGATATTTCACTCCTCTTCTCGCCATTGCCGCCTTCTCCAGGCACGCCAATGTCGGCGTCGCTCACGCCGACTGCGCTGAGGGATCCTCGATTCAACTTTGACGCCAAAAACCTGCCTCCACCCTCTCCGAAACGCGGCGAATCGTACGAGAAGTTTGCGTTTTGGCCGCCAAACTCAAACTCTGTAAGCGGTGTGCATTACCTGTCCAAAATGCTCTCACTTGTTGGCACTGGTGCGGCCGAGATGGCAGGCGTGAGCCCTGTTGGCCAAGGTGATACGCGACAATTGGATCTACTCAAGACCATGGTTGGTGCAGCTCGTGAGAGATGTGTAAACGCCATTTGCGGTGCTTGGAACAAGGACGCCGAAAACATCAAGTTTGTTGAAGACTGGCAAGGATCACGAGAGATGGGTGATGTCACGCGAATGCCTGCGACTTTCTCAGGCTTCGAGGGTGCCCTGCTCAGTGGAATGCAAAAGATTCTCTATGTGCCTGAAGCCGTGGCCAAACCGGGGGCTGCAGATATCGTGCCACCCCCACCGACGAAGCTCTTGCAAATGGTTCGCAGCCAGTACGTGACCACTCTCTATAAGGCATTGAGTGGCATGGTCGAGAATGCGGAGCGATCAGTCAAAACGGAGGAAGACGAGTGGACAACAGACTTGACGGCCCCCGCCAGAGACGGTATCGATGCCAGAGCCTCTTACAATGTTGGGCTCAGGGGCATTGATGCTGGTGATCGCGTAAGTTTAACATCTTGGTTCCATATTGGGCCCTCAACTAACGTCTACTAGAATGTGCGCATGCTTCTGACCTTGAGCAATCTGGCAGCTCTCCGTAACAAGGTTGTCCCCGGCCTCAATACTCAATTCGAAAACGCGTTTTCAGTAAAGCTCACTGATGAGTCCAAAACTATACGGGATACTCTGTCACAAATCGACGCTCGTCTCTTCCAGACATACACGAGGCCTTCGGTTCAAAACATTCGCCAAATCGTGCGCACCGGCGTGTCTGATCCAAGCTGGGGCAACGTGCCTAGACCAACTCAAGTTCGACCCTACATTTACGACGCACTTTTGTCTCTTGTGCTTGTCCATACCCAGGTTTCCACAACCGCGCCGAGTCTGACACACCAAGTCCTTTCCTTTCTCCTTGAGGCCACCTCGCGGGAGCTGCTTGAAGCTTTCAAACAGCGGAGCCGCTATGACATTGGTGCCTTGATGCAGGCAACACTCGACGTAGAGTTTGTAGCTCAGACCTTGACACAATACACCACGGAACGAGCAGGTCAGACACAATCTGAGATTTACAGCATGCTCGACAGTCGTACAGATGATGCCACCAGAGCCTCACTGCAGAATGAACTGCCGGGTATGCGCGATGTGCTAAAGAAATTGCGCGAACTGTCAAAGAACGAATTCGGATGCTTCAAGAAACCTCGTCGTCAACAGAGTCAAGGTGGTCCTGGTGGACTGGAGCGCACGCAGACGGGCTAGAGGCTCTCTGACAGTCTCACAAGACTCCAGAGCATATTTGCGGGTAGACTCAGTCATAACTCAAGACACCAGAAACGCCAATCTAATGGCCCCAACCAAAAAGCTGCCTTGGCAGGCCTTTCCAATACCCAGAAACGAATGGGTTGGGTGAAGCGACTTTCCAATAGCGGACAAGAGCAAGACGCAAACCTGACGTCGCTCTCTTTGCAGGCTTCATCGCCATCCCCGGAGCGCGCTCTACCGTCAAACCCACCAGTCAACTCCCTTTTCAGCCAGTCTCCTGCTCGAGATATCCTCACTCAGCCTCACACCCCGGAATCAGCAAATAGCGGCAGACGTAAAAGGGGAATTTGGAAAGGAGAGGTCAAATCGTGCACAGTGATTGCCGGTGAGCTTAGGGGCCAGCTGTTGGAAGAAAGGGAAGAGGAAAGCGCAACACCTACCAGACCACCCGCTCATGCCCAGACCGATCAGAAGAGGGACGGCCAAATGAACTGGAGGGAGGAGCTGGATGGTTTCAGAGTGCCCTGATTATCTCTGATGTACATCATGATTAAGCAAAAGAAGATATAACTAGCTTACATGGTCTTGATGCGATAATTGCATGCAGGGCCATGTTGATTCAGAGCGTAATGATAATAATGATGCCACAATTTTAGTGTATCAATCAACGAGTATTTAGACATGTAACATTGTTCATTCGTGAATCGAGTTGCGCTCTAGTGGGGGCAAAAAACAACAAACGCAGCCTCTGGAACGCCGCCCCTGAAGACACCTGGGTATCAACCTATAGGAACAAATCCATTTTCTCGCAATCCATTTCATGAGCCTTCGGAATCCATGGGGAATTTTGTTAGAACCCATTCCGTATATGGTGGTTCTGGCACCTATTTGGATCCACCTATCATTTTTCCCCTTCTATAAACTTTTCGGTTGAGCCATCTATTACAATAACATATTAAATATGACCATCATGCTGTGTTTGTATATCTCCTCTGACTTGTCGCAATAATTCCGGACTGAGGTACATGGAGACTGGAGGCAATGGGAAACTTGCAGAGCTCAATTCTGTGGGCGGATCGCTCCGACTTGGGCTTGTCGATTCTAGGGCTTCTGCATTGCCCGACCCCGTGAAGATTTCTTCCATGAGTTGTTCGCATAGAGCTTGATCATCTGGTCTCAGGAATTCGTGATGATCCATCGGTATTTCCACCGGTGGCGTTTCACTTGGGGGTTTGGTCTTACGAGCCGGTTCTCCCGTAAGATCTGGCATTGTTGGAGGCTGATTCGGGGACTCGTGTTCCAGCTCCAATTCTCTTGCAGATTCTGCCATCTCTTGGAGTTCATTCGTAGGTTGGTCATTCGATTCAGGCCACTCTGCATCATCCTAAGGCTGCAACAGTGCCGAGCAGAACAAGAACTCTAATGACCGTGAGTCGGACTGATCGAAAGAAAAGTTATCACGACGTTCGCGCAGGAAGTTGGCTGTAACCCATGTCAGTAAGCATATCTTTTAAAGGTGGAGTTTCATTGTTGAACTTACGAGTGACGTTGAGATCTTCATAATACTTCTTGATCGCTTCATCCTCTTCGTCGGCTCTGATGGGTTGATCAGAGGGCCCATCGGTGATCTTGGGCAAGATGTGGCGAATGTGGAGCAGCATTTTCAGGAGCTCACACAATCCATAGCCTTGATTATAGTAATTATCTGGTTGCTTCTCCAATGGCCATAGTGACCGCAACGCCTCACCATCCCACGCCTTGAATGACCATGTCATCTTCTCAACGCAATTGAGAAAAATCATTGCAGTGAGAAACATTGGGAAGCCAAGCTTTGATCTGCCATCTTGCAAATTTCTTTGAATGCCCACAAGCAAACTCTTGCTCGTCTGTGCGGCCTTGCGCTCAGCTCCTGCAGTGAGCTGCGTGCAGAAGGTGGTAAAGACCTCATTGTCATGATCGTTTGTGGATGTCTCGTCCTTGAGCCAGACATTGCTAGAGTCATTGTCATTCGATTTCTTCTGGAAGGACCATTGGCGTTCACGATCCATGATCTCGGTCAGCCCCCACAGCTCAAGAGACCGTCTCAAGAGCTCATCGTTTGTGTCATGCGCAACCTTCTGAGCGTACTCTAACGTTACACGGACATGTGAGGATGTTTCTCGGCTGATGAATTCGGGAAGCATGCGGCGCATGTAGTTCTCAACTTCGGCTGGTATGTCCTCTAGGGTATTATCAATCATGATTATCGGAAGAACAGGTGCATTGTCACCATCGGTATGAGACTCTTGCGCCTCAGCCGGAGAGGCGTTCTGGAGAACTCCCAGGGTGATGTGATGACCAGTCTCGTGAAAGTGCGAGGCCTCAACCACGAGACCATTGTTGGCAAGGTTATAGTCTTCCTTCAACTTGTTGACTCGTTTTTGGGCGACGACAATTTGTACCCCAGCTGAATACAGCTCAATCTGCTCCGCGAGCTTGGTTCGTGTGCAGCCTGTGTGCCACACTCGAGGGGAGAGCACTTTGCGGCATGTATCACAAGGCGTGCCCTTGGAGCAGACTTTGCGCAGGATGCGGCATCGAATGCATGCGCCGATGCGTCTGACTTCTTGCACCTCCTTTCTTCTGGTGGGGTCGAAGCGGGCTCGTGAGTGTCGAACACGAGTACCATTCGCACTCAATGTGTCCATTCTGAAGCCACCTTTGTTGAGTGTATATGCCAATTGTTGGCTTTGATCACTGACAGTCGCGGGGGGCTGAATGTTATTTGGTATGTAAGTGAGCTCACCCCATGAAGGAATAAGATCGTGTGCACTGGCATGGGCGCTGTTGATCGGAGCGTTCATAGGAGCTGCGACAAGAGGTGAGTGTCTATCGTCTGGTGCCTGAGCCATTACGATATCGTCTGTGCCTGGCAAATCTGCGTCAACTACATCTGTGGTGACGTGGGCTTCTACGACGTCCATGTTCGTGTTGGAGTCAAGGGCTTCTGTGTGCTGAACGACGGCCTGGATCATGTCCTCTGATGTTTCCACATGTCCGTGATTAATGTCTGCAACTGCTGGAGTACCGGCAGCGGTGTCGCCCGTGGTATTGGTTGTGGAAGTAGGTGTCTCAACACTGTCATGTTCGAGACCTTGGGAGAGAACTTGCTGCAGTTGTTGGTGCATACGGGGATCGACATAGTTGGGATTAAGCCGGGCGGCAGCAGCCGCGGCCATGGACAGGTTGGTATCCAACGCATGGTCGCCAGAATCGAGAGCATGGTCGGCAGACTCCAACAAGCTTCGTAGCTTTTCCTCTGTCATCTCTTGGTCATGTTCGAGGTCGCCATGTTCGTGCAGCTCTTGCGGCTGCAGTTGATGTTGCTCCTGCTGAGACCGATTGTCATAGCTCAAGGGGGGGTTCTCCAATGTGAATTGCTCTTGCAACTCAAAAGGGTGAGAAGTGAGAGCGAGGAGAGGGTGGCTGAAAGACGCGGTAGTAGCATCGTGTGGTGGATGCTGCGGGCTCGGGAGGTGCTCGTCATGCTTGCCGCTGAACTCGTTGATCTGTCGTGAGACCTCGGCAAGTGTCTCGAGCGCGGTCCAGTTTGTCTGTGCCAAGGCATTGTCGGCGGCGACCGAGTCGACCAAAGCGGCAGCATTGGACTGAACGACAGCAGATGTGTGGGCGCGACGTGCCGGACTGCCGTTGATGCCGTGCAATTGCAGACAGGCGTTGATCCTCTCGGCCTCGGAGATGGCGGGGCATCGCTTGGTGAGGTGGTTTGTCAAACTGTCGATTCGGCCCTTGGGAAAGTCCTCACCGCAGGCCTTGCAGCGGTGAGGATACCTGTTGCTGTTGTCTGATAACTTGGGGCCCCTCTCAAAGTAAGTCAGAATCAAGGGATTGGGCCGACGGCCCATGGTGAGAGGTGGTCAAGACGAAAGGCCGCCTTGTACCGTACCCTCGTACTGATGGTTTGGTCAATCTCTGGGCGGTCACGATAATGCCGGCAGAATTTTACCAGGCGATGATGGTGGGATGGAGAGAGCTTGAGCTTCCAAAAGCGTCGCAGAGCCGAAGCGCATTCGCGTCGAGTCAGATCTAGAATCCACTGAGCAATGAGCGATCAATCGGAGATCCGAGCATGGGAAAAAAAGAAGGGATTATTGTTTCTGAAATTGTCGTAACGAGCCCCAGTTGCGATTGCGACCGTGACTGTCAAAATAATTTGGCCGCCAATTGCAACCAGGGACTTATCGATAAGCCAGGGCCGAATTTGGGATTGGCAGTCGCTGCGAGGTGCACCACGTTTGCCCGGCCATTCAGGTACGTATTTTGCTAGAGATGGCGCTAGCTAGAATCCCCAGACTGAAGTGGGGCACTACTTCTCTCACCACCTGCCCCGGGCTCGTGGCCCACTCTAGTGCTTGGAATACCTCAACAAGTACAAAGCCGTCACCTGCCGTGTGCGTGTGCAATGGGTCTGTGAATGATTTGGTGAGCGCATTTCTTGACCCTTCAAGCGCGTGCCCACTGTCATGTTCTCATTCAGGTTATATGTTTGTCTTTTTCAATAGCAAATATCCTTACATGGGTATAACATGCCCGAAAGAGGCTGTTGATATTTGAACCTGATGATTGAGTTGGGTTGGTCATAGTACAAGTATTTCCCAAGCTGTATAGAGCTGTATGAAATGATTCATCGTCGGAGAGAGACATTCTCCTACAGTCTACCGGCACACAACGGCTTTCTCAAAAGACCTCATTTTCTCATTCAGCCTTGTCTTCACCTTTCCAGACCCCTGCTGAAAAGCCGACAAAGTTGCAGAAGTGCAATTAAGATGCCCCCAAATTTAGGTTGAGAGCTTGCGTTGAACCTAAGCGGTACTGGCAAGTCGGCCGCTGTCCGTTGCCTCAATCACACCCGCCTGCATGGGCTCGATTCTATCTTGTGAATGGCTTTTGTTGAAATTCTCAAGCTGCCAGTCCAATTTCCCTCTGCAGACCCTTGCAATCTATAATAGAAAGGTATCTCTCGGGAAATCTATTACCGTTAGACAAATGCTACTTTATATAATCCCCGAGTATTACAAATTTGGTTCCAAACTCGGGGCTTGAGCCTACCATTTGTACTGGGCATTGTACCCATCAAAATGGCTGTCTGGGGAAACATTGAACCCAAGAAAGCCTTGTGGAGTTCCATCTTGTCACACGGAAAGAGATCGGCTCAACCCGAGCCAACGGAATCTAGAGTATGTCCTCTGTATACCCGTCATTCACCAATGATTCTTATTTCATACCTGGACGAGTTTCTTGCTTGTGGCTAATTGATGCCGTCCCAAGATCTACATTTGTCTGAATTTTGGTTCAATGCCAAGGCAAGGAAACTAGTCCAGTGTGAGTGAACAGGTCGGATAAAAAGGAAGCACCGTGATTATTGATCTTATTTCGTTCTCATCTTGGCGATAGTTCTCAGCCATTAATACCACTCGCGACTGGGGTCAGAGTACCTATATTGGCAATTGGGGTACCATCGTCCCGCAGAGTCGACGCCTTAGCCGCCGCCCTAGCTATGTACTCCTTTTCCTCCACATATATTATTATAACAGACGACCGATTCAACTATCAATGTGCCTATTCCGGAGATGCTCCTCCCCATTGTACAGCACTAAAGTTAAATGAGGTGTGCCGGCTGCCGACGTGCCGGGCTCTTAGCATCTGTAGTGTCATTTGCGCCATTTGGTCTTTTTTATTTTTATTTCTTCCTTCTGGGCGCTGGCCTGCCCTTCTAAGACTTATCTCGCCGAACCCCTGTGGGGCCATGTGCACTGCGAGGTACCAATGAATCCATTTTTGGGGGGGCCAATATCGTCGACTTATAATACAACCGGCTGACACGGCCGTCTATTTTTCTCTGCCTCTCATCAAGTTCCCTTGTGATGATCAGAGTCTCTCGTTTCTCTCATCCATTCGCTTTTTGATCGCGTCATTCGTTTATAATTCTCCCCTCTTCTCACGATTTCTTTTCTGGTTTGGTTGCTCTGTAAGTCTGCAGCTCGACAATTGTGCAGCATACTCGGATCCACCAAAATCGACCAGTCACGTTCAGGGGTCGGCATAAATAAAATAAATCAAATCAGACCCCTCCATTTATTTGATTTGTGTATATATAAGCAAATCACGATATTCGCTTTATTTATATATTTGATTTATAAATTAAATCGGGCCGAAAGTTCCGGATTAATTAGAAGTCCGGGATTTTAATAATTATTTCCCGAACCGTTTATTTTTATAATTTTTATATTTTAAATATTTATAATTATTACTATAGCTATCGTAATTATAATTATATAATTAAATTAATTAATTATCTTTTTAAAAATATATTTTTATCGAATTTTTATGCTATAGCATTATAAATCGGGCTAACGGCTATAATATAGCCCTTTTCCCGAAAATTAGCCGGTCCCGCCTAAATTAACGCGTTTTCGTTTAAAACTAAAGCAAAATAAAATATATTAATATTAAACGCATAATTCGCTTTATTATAAATGCATTATAATAATTTATTTTTATTCGATTTCTTTAATCCCGTCCTCCCCGAATTCGCGCGCTTAGCGCCGTATATAAATAAACGATTTAAGCGTAAAAGATTTAAAGCGCGAGCGCTATATAATTACGTTAAGCTTAGCTTTATTAAATAAGCGCTTAATTTTATTATTTATAAAAAGAATTAAATATAAATTTAGCGTTAGCTAATAAAGTTAAAAAAAGTTTTTTTTATGCTATTATTATTATAATAATAATATATTAATCTAAATCGCGGGCTAGCCTAAATATTAATTAACCTTATTTAAATAAGGCTTATTATTATTAAAATTATATAATTTAAATAATTATAAATATTATTTAAATTTAGTAAATTTACGGCTTTTTTTTACTAATAATATTAATAAATTTAATATAAAGCGAGTATTTGCAGCGAAATTAATAATTTAATCGTAACGGCTTATTAATAAGCGAAAATTATCCTTAATATATAACGGCTCGATATCGTATTTTTTAATTTATATTATTTTAAAGGCTAAATTTAATATATATGCGATTTAATAGATTTTAGCATTTTATAGCAATTTATAATATTTTTTAGCAATAAAAAATCTTCGCTATAATAATTAATATAGGAACTTATAGCCGTTATTATTATCTAATTCCTCGGCTATATTAATAACGCGTAAGCGTTATATATTAAATTTATTAATTTTGTCGTTTTAATATTTAGCTAGCAATTTATATATTCGTTTATTATATAAATTATTTAATTAAAAGGCTATTTCTAGCTATATAAAACCTTTATTAACCACGGCCTTAAACGCGAAAACTACCTACGCGATTCGAATCTAACTAATTATATAATATAATATAAATAACACTTTATTAATATTAATATTATTACCTTTAAATTTAAAAATAACGATTTTAATAAATTTTAATAATCCCTTTAGTTAAATAGCAATTATCTAATTATCTATAATTAGCTTATTAATAAGCTTGTATTTAACGGCCTATAAATCGAAAATTTAGCGCAAACGCAGCACCTTTTATAATATATTATACGCAAAATTTTATCGCGTAGCATTTTTAATAAAAAGCAGGATTGCGTTATTAATAAAAAAATTAATTTCTTTAACGCCTTTATTTTCGTAAAAACCTTTATATATCCGAAAAAACTTTTTACGGCGTTATAAGCTATTTTTAATATAAATTACTAATTCGTAAATTTTACGGATCGGGCCGGCTTTAAGCTATATACGGTAATTTATAGCAGCGAACCTATTATTATTAATTATACGCTTAATATTAGCTTTAGCTTTACCGCTAAAAATCGATTTAGCGATTAAATTAAAAATATAATTAAAGCAATAGAATCGCTTAAGGGTTTTTTTTTATTAGATTAGCCTTTAATTAATAGGAAATCCTAATTATAAAGCTATTAAATATTTAATTATAATATTATTATTAATTATATTATTAAGCATAAATTAGCCGATTTTATAATTAGGGATTTTATATAATTCGGCTATTTTAAGCACTTTTTAAACTAATATAATGCTTATATATTTCCTATTAACCTCACGCAATATTAAAAGCTAATTTTTGCGATTATAATTATCCGTTATATAATACACAATTATATTAAGCAATAAACGTTAATTAGGCAAGGTTTAATAATTAAAATTAAAGCTGATTTTGCCGATATTATATTTAAATATATTATCGATAATCCGCGCTTAATATATTTTAAACCGATTTTTTAGCTATTTCGCTATTATACGGGGATTTATAGCTAAATAATTAGAAATCGTTAAATTTAAAAATAAATAAAGCTTTTTAAAGGCTAAATACGCAATTATAATTAATAGCAGTTTAGCTAAAATAATTAAATTAAGGATTTTTTATTAAAGCTGCTTAATAGCTAATATAAGGCAAATAGCTATAATATTAGTTTTTGCCTTTTTATATAGCTATTCTAATATAAATATAATAATAATTTTATATTTACGCTTAAATCTGCCTTTAGCGGCCGGTAAATTATTGGCATTAATATTATTATTTATTATTTTGCCGTATTTTAAAGCAATATAATCCTATAAATTAGTAGTTGCTTTACCGTTATATAGCTTAATAATACCTATTTCGTTATAATAACGGTAATATAAATAATATTTGCTAATAATTATATTACGCTTATTGTAGCTATCGCCTATATACTTTATTATATAACTATTATAAAATTCGATAACGCTGCGCCTATTCACTTTTATAAGCAGCAAATACGTAGGTATAAACCGACGTTTATCCCTATTAAACACTAATTTAAAAAGATTACTAAAGGCCGCGTTATATAAAACTAAAATCTTAATATCCGCGAAAATAGCTAATTACTATAAAATAAAAAAATAATTACGCCAACTACCTATTTTTATATAAAAAAATAACTTTATATTAAAATAAATTTATAAACCTAAGCCGCTACGAATAAAGGCTATAAAAAGCTAGCTTATAATTATAGCAATAAAGGAATTAGCTATTAAGAAAAGTAATTTTCCGCTAATTACCATTTAAATCTAAATTAAAGCGTATATAAATATTATAAAATTAATATATAAAAAAATATATAATATAAATGCAATAAAATCGACTATTTATACTAAATAATTTTAGCGATAGATTTTGGGCTATTTAAATAATATAATATTATTATTTTTTTTAAAAAAATCCTTAAAATATATCGTATAGGCCGTTAATTATTATATAGCCGTTATTATTATCGCTTATAATATCGTTATAATTCGCAATCCGTATAAACGGAGTTTTTAATTTAATGCTATATATAAATTTTCTATAATTATAATAGGCTATAATATAAATTAATTAAATCTAGCTGCAATAACACCTATAATTAAATAAAGGCAATTTTAAAAATTTTTATTAGCTTATTAATAGCTAATAAAAAGCTTATCGTATTATTAATAGCTAATTAAATAATTAGGTTCCCCTTAAAAAACCTATTTAGCCATATTATAAAATAATAAAATTTAGTTACGAATACGTAAAAACGCGTTTAAAATAATAAAAAGCAATTGCAAATTATACCGAATTACTAAAAATAGCCATTATAAGGTTTTTTTATTAATTTAAATAAATCGATATATATGCAGCTTATATATTTTTAAAAGGGGTTATAATAGGAATCTATATTTAATTTATAAATCAGGACTTATCGGGATTTATTTACAAATCGGGGAGGAATCGGTAATTTATTTGATTTGCGCGCTAAAATCTCAAATCAAATAAATCTGATTTCATTTGCGCCGAACCCTGGTCACGTTACGATCTGCTGGCACGTTTTTGGGTCCAACCCCTGGAATAGTCACGAACAAGTCTGCCTACATTAGAAAACCAACAGCGGTGATAGCTCGTGCGCTATACTGCTACGCATCTCGTGGTCGTATTCTCCAGCACGACGCCGGTTTTTGCTGGTCACCACTCACTGGCACCCGCAGCCGTCAACACGTGCCTGGTTCGACTGTGTCTTTGGTCAAAAACTAGAGGCCATGATGCTTTGAAGGAGTCAATAAGATCGTACAACTATACATCAGAAAAACATGGGCCTCTATTAATGTTTGAAACTTACTTTCTAGATTCGAGATTTAGAGTTTGATTGTTTTCTCTTCTACACACTTCTCTCTGAAATGGCACACTGTCATTTGTTCTGGATTCCAGCCAATGTTTTATGATGCGTACTACAAAAGCTATTAGTCTTTTGGCCACTGCGTCTTTTGTGTCCGCGCAAGACCTTGCAGACTACGTGCGGCCAGATGTAAGTCACCAAGTTCTGGTAACTATAAGTAAAATTCTTGCTCACTTTGACCTAGACTGGTGATACAAATGGAGGCAATACGTTCCCCGGGGTTACTTTACCCCTGGGCTTGGTAAAGCTTGGCCCAGACTTGTATACTGGTTCGGATTCATATTCGGGCTATCAAGCGACTGGCAACTTTACCGGTTTCTCCATGCTGCATGAGAGCGGCACTGGAGGTGCACCGAAATATGGAGTCGTTTCTCAGATGCCCGTTGCCGGCGGTGTCGTGAATCCGCTTCTTGATCACAGCGACACTAGAGCCGAGACAGACGTGACCCGAGTCGGCTACTACAAGGTCACCACTGGCAGCGGTGTCGTCCTAGAACTTGCAGGAGCTAATCGAGCTGGATTGTACAACTATACGTTCCCGGCTACAACTACGACCCCTAATATTATTGTTGATGTGTCTCACGTGTTGCCCTCGTTTCGAGGTCAGGGGCTGGGCCAGAATTATCTTGGTGGAAACATTACAGTAGTGCCCTCCTCCGATGGCTCATCTCTACGGTACGAAGGCTCAGGCTCATATGATAATGTAAGTCTCATCCTTATACTACAAGGACCTCCATGAAGTAATGACTCACCAAAACCACAGGGGTGGAATCGATCTCCGCTATGGACTGTCTACTTCTGTGGTTACTTCGATCAACCAACGAATTACAGAACTTTTGTTGCTACAGCCGCTGACTCGACAGATCTCGTCTCTTATGATGATACCAATAGCGTGTCATCTACAGCTCGTGTCGGTGCTGTATTTTCCTTTGACTCGCAAAAAGTTACCTCGCGCGTGGGAGTTTCATTCATATCGTCGGCTCAGGCGTGCAGCAACGTCGACGATGAAGTGCCTACCGACGCCACTGTCTCATCGTTGGAGCAGGACGCTCGAGCCTCTTGGAATGATGCCGTCTTGTCCAAGGTCACCACGACTGATACCTCCAACACGACAAACTTGCAACTTTTGTATAGCTCCTTGTACCACATGAACATAATCCCCACCAACAAGACCGGTGAGAATCCCAAATGGACATCAACGGAGCCATACTATGACGACACTTTTACACTTTGGGATCTGGTAAGTTTCCCTCGTGAGTAAGCAGAAATATCACCAAGTAGCTAAGAATTACTAGTTTCGTTGCACTACAGCACTATTCCACATCATACAGCCAGAGGCCTACGAGGAGTTTTTCCGTTCTCTGATCGACATTTGGCGCCATGATGGCTTCATGCCCGACGCACGCTCGTCATTCTTCAATGGTGCAACCCAGGGCGGCTCAAACGCCGACAATGTCCTTGCCGATGCATATGTCAAGGGCGTTCGCGGCAACGTCAACTGGGATCTGGCCTTCGAGGCCATGATGACAGATGCCGAGGTGGTGCCACCCAACAACAATGATCCCAGGGACACGAGCTCGTCTACCAAGGAGGGACGTGGCGCTCTGCCGGATTGGATCAACCTCGGATACATTACAACCAGATACGGCCGCTCCGTCACCCGGGCTATTGAGTACGCTGGCAACGACTTTGGGTTGTACCAGGTGGCGTCGGGTCTGGGCAAGACGGAAGAGGCAGCCAAGTACCTGAACCGCTCTCGCAACTGGCGCAACCAGTGGAACCCAGACATGACATACCAGGACTTTTCGGGATTCCTCGGTCCCATTGACACCAACGGCAACTTTATCGATCAGGACCCCATCTCGTGCGGCGGCTGCTACTGGGGCGACTACTACTACGAGGCGCTGCCAATCGAGTATTCGTTCAACGCGCACCACGACCTGGAGCACCTAGTGACGCTGTGCGGCGGCACCGACGCCTTTATCGCGCGACTCGAGATCATGTTCTCCCAAGGCTTCTTCAACCCGGGCAACGAGCCCAGCTTCACGACGCCGTACCTCTTCAACTACGTCGGCCGCCAGGATCTGACCGTCTACTACACCCGCTGGTACGCCAAGCGATACTATGCGCCGACGCCCACGGGCTTGCCCGGCAACAGCGACGCCGGCGCCATGGAGAGCTGGATCCTCTGGGTCATGCTGGGCCTCTACCCAATTACAGGGCAGACTACCTTTTTGATTGGTTCGCCCTGGTTTGACGACCTGACCATCCACCTCGGCGGCGGCAAGGAGCTGCACATTACCACGACGGGCGGTTCCGAGGACGCCTACTATGTACAGAGCCTCAGGGTGAACGGCAAGGACTGGAACCAGACCTGGGTCACCTGGGACGACGTCTTTGCCAATGGCGGAACCATGGAGTTTGTCCTGGGCACTGACAATATTGTCTGGGCCGACGGTCCTGCGCCGCCGAGCCCGGCTTCCCAGGGCGACAGCACCACTCAGGGCGCCGGCGTTGTGAGTCGAATCAGGAGGCAACCTGAATAGGAATTAATCCTGCCGGGATTGGCGGCTCTCATGGTTCTCAGTTATGTTGCCGGCAGGATATGGCCAATGCAACGAAGAAATAATGATGATGACAGGTTTTACGATGCAAAGAAATGAAATCACCGGCACATAGTATTCTTAAAATTAATTTCTAGTGTGTATATTTAATTTATGGCTACTTTGATCAAGTTCAAACGTCCACGTGAGTGAATTCGTCGTAGCCACGATTGAAAAATGGAGCAGAGATTGGCATAAATATTTGCTCACACGCATCTGACACTCATCTTTATTTATATCTAATAAGTATTTCAGGTGGTGATTGAAAGAAATTCACATGCAGTATCATATATTTTTGGAATTCAGGCTTGACAAAATGTGTGGTGTCATTTCACATTATTACATATGTCGAGTATGAATCAACGCGAACAGTAATATTCTGGGAAGGGGAATTGCTCTTCTCATGACGATTTACGAATCGAGGCTTGTAGATAAGTCATGGCTCATGGGTAAATGGACAAGAATGCAATGTCCACTAATCACGGTTATAGTCAACCAGATGAGAAATGGACCTCGTTTGTATACACCATGCCCAAAATGTTGGACTGTTCATTCTCACATCTGAGATGTGCCTCCCTGACTAGATGGACAGCAACACTTCACATACAGTACATTGAGGTGATTCAGGCCATTACAAATCCGATCTGCAAAAACGTCACGGTCCGCATAGTAGGCAGCGCTAGGTTTGCGTAGATTTCTAGTTTAGTAAGGTTATATAAATGTACGGAGGCTACCGGGCTTTAACCGGAGCCATCCAAACAAGCCTCCAAGTCGTAAACTTGAGAGACAGAATATCAATCCGTGCGTCACTCGATTAAAGCTCAAATCAGACCAGCTTGAGCTCCACTAGGAAAGCGTAATCTCGATGAATAGTTCTTCAAAGACCCGGCTGCTCTGAATTTGCACTTGAGCATCGTTTCAACTCTAGTATGTCAACTGCTCCGCGAGCTCTACAAGCATGCAGGCCATGCAAGCAACAAAAGCGCAAATGCGACAAGTCACAGCCCATCTGCGGCCTTTGCGAGCGCTCCGGGCGCTCGTGTGATTATAGTAGTAGCGTTCCTGTCGTGGCCCCGACCACGGCCGACCTCGAGGCTCTCCAGTCCCGGCTGGACGAGCTCGAGTCCCGCCTCAACAACAGTCACGGCACCCCACCCGCGTTTGCGCGCACCGCCACCCAGAGCGTCAACTCTAGTAATGACGATGCTTCCCAGTGTCTATACCAATCTGAAAACACGTCGTCTTTACACACGCCTCCGAGCGCCGTGTACAGCCGCGACGAGGGGGCCAGTCGTGCACATGCTGCCTTGTTTCTCGATATCGACTGCTACAAGTGGTCGGGTTTCTCCATCAAGGGCATATCCGGCGAAATTCCCGTCGTGCGTTGTCGTCTCCCATCCTTTGCCCTCTTAGCGGAGCTCCCTTGGTGCTCTAGTTGTCTCTGAACTGACGTGACCAATAGGATGTGTTGGCCTTGCTGACACAGGGTGATGCCATTATGGATGTCTACGCTGCCTACTTTGACACGGTCCACACCTGGTTCCCGGTCGTCTCCAAGAAGAGAATCGACCTCGGCATCCCCATGCGTCATGGCGGGCCAGAGCTCGCTGTGCTCTTCCTCGCCATGAAACTCCTCGTTACGCTGCCCAAAGACGTCACGAATAGCCCCGTGTACGTCGCGGTCAAGCAGTTTCTGAGTCTCCTAGAGGCCCGTGGCTGTTGCTCCTTTACCTGCTTGCAGGCCATGATGCTCGTCGCCTTGTACGAGTATAGCCATGCCATCTACCCGGGCGCCTGGATGACTGTGGGCGCTTGTAGTCGCTACGCCGATATCATCGGTGTTACTGGTGCAGGCTCTACCCTAGACATCGTACACAGCGTGGTAAGCACATTCCCCGAGGCCTTTTCCCCCCCCTCCCCTCGATCATCACGGATATTAACGGTAGGCTACTTTAGACGACGTGGTCAGAGGCAGAGGAAAGGAGAAGGATATGGTGGGGTATGTACATTTTGGATCGAGCCATTTCAATCGGCAGCAGGAGGCGATTCTCCATGCCCGAGCCGTCTGAAAACAGCACACTTCCGTCGGATGATTCTGGTTGGGTAGGTGATCCCAAGAGGGGAATTAGAAAGGAAAGAAGTCTTTGCCATGTCCACTAAAATAGTGCAATAGGATCGGGGCGATGCCATGCGTGCTGTCAACCTGTCGGTCACGACCGACCCATCAGTCCGCCAATCACCCTTTGCTCGTCTCTGTCAGTCAGCTATGCTTCTCAGCCGCGCAATGCAATGCATATCGTTGACAGGGCCACCCGAATCCCAACAGAACGAGGTATTTTCCGTGCTATCGGATCAACTCATGAACTTCCTATCTGTTGTTGATTCAGAAGTTTCCTCCACCGTTACGGATCCAGACAATTCTCTCTTGCTTCTCGGCCCTCGCTGCCTCACTGGTTCTGCCTTGTTTTTGATCCTGGATATCTTCTCGTGTCCTGAGAAGATGAGTCAGATTCCAGGCTACATCAGTACGCCGGGCGCAAAATCCAACGAGGAACTGCAAAGGCAGGTATGGGCTTCATCCTTGTTGAAACGTGTCACTGAGGCCTTTGCCAAGTTTGGCACCGGCTGGATCGATACATTGAATTCTTCTGAAGATGCACCACAGCTGGGGCAATTTCCTAGTCTAGCATTGGATGCCTTTTACAGCACGATGGCGACTCTGCTGTGGTACCGCAGGGAGGGAATGGAAGATTGGAATGAGGCGAGCCTAGCTCATACTCGACGCATCCTACAGGTAGTAGGTGCGCGGTGGAAGGCAGCCTCGCATTATGTACAAATTGCAGAACGCTCTTATAATACCATTTGCCCATAAGGAAATGAGCTATCATACTGCCATACGACTGGAGCTCTTATTCCGGGAAATGATGATACTAGTAACAACAACGATAAGATACAATGACTATCAAAGACGAGATCCCCCTGCGTGGCCCCCTTGGTTTGGCTTGGCCTGATACATTTCCATGAAAATTTCGCACATGGTATTGATACAAGTTTTTTCACTATCCTAGAATAAGAGATGTGCTTTTACCACTGGGGCAGTTGCGGCAAGATGCGGCAAGATCAATGTCATACAATAGCTTGCGGATGATGGCGGCCGCAACAAGAAAAGAAAAAAGTCGTACCAGGCACCGATAAAGCTGATGAATGAGGACTTTATGCCGCTGTTTTGTATTGGTTCATTGGCCGAGGTTATTTTCTTTCCTTCTTCCTCTTGACGGCTTGCCACTAATTTTAGCCTTTGTAGTATAGATACGGGTGATTTATGGGTCTTCGGCCGCAATTCCCCGCAAGCAATCAACGATTTCGGGGTCATCGGCCGCAAGAGACTAATTTACTAGGTATGATTCAATCTTGTCGTTTGTGTAAAGTTGCAAGTATACTACGGTCTTGGCACAAGCTGATAGATACTAGCTATAGCACAAAGAGCTACAACATAGATGCAAAGTCTGGAGATGTGATGAAGAAATGCAGGACCTATTGGTTATAAAGACCTGCTTCCGTCTTGCTTTTCTGTTATGCCTGAAAGAGCACATCGTATTCCATCTCGCTGATTGGAATAGTAAACAAGTCCTTCATTTTCCGACAAGAAACAAGACCAATCATCATGTCTGTCAGAATGACGACGTTCCTACCTCACAAGGCACCCTTGACGGAGAAGAACCTTCCTGACCAGCGAAACAAGGTGCGTTCCTGTGGCGGGACTCACAACTTGATTTATCCTCTTCTTCAACGACACCACTCGCTCGCTCAGCTATGGATTTCACAAAACTAACGCAAGTGACGGGAACCAGGTCTTTATAATTACAGGCGCATCAGGCGGCATTGGATCCGAACTCGCCGAGATTCTGTACGGCAAGAATGGCAAGGTATACTTGGCCGCCCGCTCTCAGTCCAAGACAGATCAAGTCATCAAGTCCATTCGAGAAAAGCATCCCTCCTCGACGGGCGATCTCATCTTTTTGAACTTGGTCTTGGACGACCTGACCACCATCAAGGCCACCGCCGAAGAGTTTCTGTCCAAGGAAACGCGGCTCGACGTTTTGTGGAACAACGCCGGCGTCATGGTCCCGCCTCAGGGGTCCACGACAAGGCAGGGCCATGAGCTGCAGTATGGCATAAACAATATTGCCCATCAAATGTTCACCAGCTTGTTGCAACCCGTGCTGGAAAAGACTGCACAGTCTTGCCCGGCCCACTCGGTCCGTGTCGTCTGGGTATCCTCGAGCGCAGCAGATGGTGCCCCCCACCCAGCCATCAACTTTGACAACATGTATTACCACATGGAAGAGGGCATCTGGTCCAAGTATTCTCGAAGTAAAGCTGGAAATGTGCTGCAAGCCGTCGAGTTTGCCCGCCTGACCCAAAATTCAGGCGTTTGCAGCTTGGTATGCGTCCCCATGCTCTCCCTGAATAAGAAAAGCAAAAGTTTACACCCTCATACCATGATTCATCTAACCATCAATTCCTCTTTGGCAGGCCCTCAATCCCGGTAATTTTGTCACCAACTTGCAGCGAAACATGCCAAAGATGCAGCTCGCCATGTTTGTAAGTCCTCTGTTTAAATGTTGTACTGGCGATGAGTTGTTGTGTGATTAACACACTGCGACCATATAGAAGCTCATTGCGCACGAGCCGAGGAATGGTGCATATACCGAGTTATTTGCGGGGCTGCACCCTTCCATCGACGAAAAGGATAAATGGGGTATGTCGAAAATCCATCTACTTTTACTCAAACCTTGCGATTAACAAAATGTCAGTGTCCCCATTCGGAAAGGTGGAAAAAGCGAGAAAGGACCTTTTGGACCCTACACTCGCAAAGAAATATTGGAATTGGTGCGAAGAACAATATCAAGCCTTTATGTAGTATGGTTATAATACGGATGCCATACACGGCAACCTATCCTGTCCTATCTCATAGTCACTGGGATTCCTTCTCGCGCATAATTGGACGCGATTCGACGCGTACTGTTTGAGTACCTTGTTCAATTGATTTGTAACTGCTTCAGACTCGGTCCTTGATTATACTGGACGCAAAAGTTGCATTGTCGAGTATCAAAAAAGCTATAGTGCGGAATCTGGTCCACGACGACCTTTGATCATTTCGGAAAGTATATTCACAAAAGCTTGAATTTGAGAATTGCCAAGCTCAAAACTGCCCAACCCCACGTCTGAAGCGAGTCTCCAAGATTAGATGGGCAGAAACACACATGTATAATAAGTACATCGGCATGACGTCAATTCCACGCCAATCCGCACCCTATAAAGCCATAATCACCCAAGTGGTCAAGAGCCCATATGATTGGATACTTGTATACGCCCTATGAAAGACAATCCTAGGTAGCCACAGATATGGCCCCGTCTGCCAATGACAGCTCTTGGAGAATTCATTGAGCCTGAAAGTACATATAGGTCTTATAATCCGTAAACACAATTGTAAAATTTCTTAAACTTCAAAAGTTTCAATTGCGCACTTCCTTTGATTCCACGTACAATCTCTACGCTCCGATATAGAGAGGTAAAACAAAACACCACGCGTGTTCAGGTAGAAGTGAGTGAATAGGGTAAAACGAAAGAGAAAATGGCCGAGCTCAAAACAGCCCAAACACCCACCCTCCTCATAAAATATCACGACCACGGCCCCGCCGACGGCTGGCCCGTGATTCTTTCCCACGGCTTCCCCTACGCGCCCTCGGCCTTTGACGACGTGGTGCCGCTCCTGACCCGCCGCGGCGCCCGCGTCCTGGTTCCGTACCTGCGAGGCTTTGGGCCCACGCGTTTCCGCGACGCCGAGACGCCGCGGTCCGGACAGCAGGCGGCGCTGGGTACGGATCTGTTGGCGCTCATGGATGTCGTCTTGGGCAGCCCGGACGACAATGACGAAAAGGAGGGGGGCGACGACGACAACCACAACAACAAGAGCAACAAGAAACCCATCGTTGCCGGCTTCGACTGGGGCGGTGTGGCCTCGTGTGTCGTCGCTGCCCTGTGGCCAGAACGTGTTGCTGGGCTTGTCAGCTATGCCGGGTACGACATTGTGGACGTGGCTGGCCAGGCGAGCCCAGCCAAGCCCTTTCTCGAGAGCATCATGTGGTATCAGCACCTCGTAAGTAATTTTGTGTATAGATCCCCTCACAACACCAGCGAATCATGGCGTGGTGAAAGAGGATATCGTCAACCTACCTGAACCAAGGGAGACGGAACTACCGATAGTAGAAAAACTTCTGAACCACAACCCAACCCACCAGAAATCCAAATTGTTACACGTGGCTAACACATGTCCCAGTTCCAAACTGAACGCGGACGCCAATGCCTGCAAGACCACCGCCGGGACCTGTGTCGTCTTCTCTGGCAACAGTGGTCGCCCGGCTGGCATCCCAGCGATGACGTGTTTGCGCGCGCTGCCTCGGCTTTTGACAATCTCGATTTTGTCGACGTGGTAATTCACGCGTATCGGTTCTGTTTTGGGCTCGAGTCCGGCCTACCCGAGTTGGCAGCCCTTGAAAAGAAATTAGCAGAAAAGCCAAAGATCACAGTCCCGGTAAGCACAGTTCTCAGTATTGAGTTTTGGATATTCCTTCCCACTTGATGAGCACAAGATTTTGTATTTGAAAGTCGTGACATATCGTCCCCCAAGACCCAAAATCAATCAAAGCCAGGCCCCAGCATACCGTGACCTGTATTGAATAATCTACGAGAGTACTGACACGGTTTCTTACAGTGTATAACACTAGATGGGTCTCAAGATCCCCTCAAGCCTGGTGGTTCGGCCAGTCATGACGAGATGTTTACCGGACGGCATGAGCGAAGGCAATTCAATGTGGGACACGCATTCCCGGCCGAAGCAGCCAAGGAATTCGCTGATGCAATATATGATGTATATATGTGGTCCCACTGATTATGGCCGAATCAGCCTGTGGGCTTTCAACCACGTTGCATCAATTGAGCATCAGTATCTTTCCATCTCAGATAATCAATCACGAAGCACATCACTGTTAATACCCACAATGACTGGAAAATAAATAGGTGTGATCATTTATTCAATATCTGATGACTGAGACCGCCAGATAAAGTACCCGTGTCGCTTGATAGAATACGCCTGCGCCAATTTCTTCTCATGTCGTGCCAGAAAACCTTTGTGCTCGTCGGCCAGAGAGCTCAGACCAACGAATGACTATCTCATGCCTCTCAAGAAGATAGTTTGAACCATTCGTTGGATTTATGCGATCAGTTCTTGACAACCAGTGGTTCCACGTTCCAGATACCCTCGGCGTATTCATTGATGCATCTGTCAGAGCTGAAGAAGCCCATTCTGGCGACGCTGCGGATGCACTTGGCAATCCACTCATCCTGGTTGCGATACTCCGTGTCCACCATCTTCTGGGTATCAAGATAACTCTCGAAATCGTCCGACACCAAGTAGTAGTCACCATGGTCGCGGACGGCAGATATCATGGCACCAAAGTCATTGGGCTCACCGAACTTGCCGCTCTGGATTGCTTCAAACACCTTGGAAAGGTTTGAGTCTATCGAGTGATTGCTATAGTTGTGTTGGTGTCGTAAATCCTCGACATCCTCAGACAAGGTGCCAAAGAGGAAGATATTCTCCTGGCCAACTTCGCGGGTGATTTCAATCTGCTCAGTCGATTAGCAATTATGGACCATGAAACAAACACAGATACACAGGTGAAAAGAATAAGAAGAAGAAAAAGCTCACATTTGCACCATCGCAGGTACCAATGATGAGACCACCATTCAGAACAAACTTCATGTTGCTGGTGCCAGAGGCCTCTGTACCTGCAGTTGAAATGTGTTCACTGATATCGTTGGCAGGAATAATCATCTCGGCCTTGCTGACATTGTAGTCCTCCAGGAAGATGACCTTGAGCTGGTCACCGATATCAGGGTCATTGTTGACAACGGCGCCGACATTGTTGATCAAGTGAATGATCTGCTTTGCCATCCAGTATCCGGGAGCTGCCTTTCCACCAAATATGGAGACACGTGGAAGCTGCTTCTTTCTCTCTTCCGGACTCATGGCCTTTAGTGCTAGGTAGCGGTGAATGACGCCAAAGATGTTGAGTTGTTGGCGCTTGTACTCGTGGATTCTCTTGACTTGTACATCAAAGAGTGCTGCCGGGTTGACCGTGACGTCCAGGGTACTCTTGATGTACTTTGCCAAGCGAACCTTGTTGGCGTACTTGATCTCGGCCCATTCTTTTCTGAATTCCTTGTCTCCTGCGTACTGCTCAATCTGGTTGAGAAGGGTGAGGTCCTTGAGGAAATCATAGCCGCCAGTCTTGCTTGCAATCAACTCTGACAATCTTGGGTTCGCTTGGTGCAGCCATCTTCGCGGAGTGATGCCATTTGTTACATTTGTGAACTTGTCAGCGCCAAAGATGGTGACAAAGTCTCGGAAAATGGTTGTTTGGATAAGATCAGAGTGGAGTTCAGCGACACCATTGACCTTGTGTGATCCAATGATTGCAAGATATGCCATGCGAACCATCTTGACTTGTGACTCCTCAATGATGGACACTCTTGAAAGCAAGTCGTGATCTTTGGGGAATTTCTTCTCTACGCTCTGGAGGAAGAACAGATTAATGTCATAAATGATTTGCAGATGGCGCGGGAGTAGGTGTTGGAACAAGCCAACTGACCATTTCTCCAGAGCTTCTGGAAGAACGGTGTGGTTTGTGTAGCCAAACTACTCATTTTGTTAGCCTTCTTCTTCACCTTCCTCTTTCATCTTTGCGATATGATGGAAAAATACTAACAGTGGACGTGACAATCTCCCAGGCCTCATCCCATTCGAGGTTCTCCTTGTCGACCAAGATTCTCTGGAGTTCAACAATGGCCAACGTTGGGTGCGTATCATTTAGCTGGATAGCAACCTGATCCGGAAATTCCTTCCAAGCGCGCTTTGACTTTTTGAATCTGCGTACAATGTCGTGCAGAGAGGCTGCTACCCAAAAGTATTGCTGCTTGAGGCGCAACTCCTTGCCCCGCTCGAGGTTGTCATTGGGGTATAGGACTGCGCTGATGGTCTCGGCTCTCTGCTGGTCGGCGACCGAACTCTCATAGTCTCCATTGTTGAATTTTTGAAAGTCGAACTCGCCACTGGAAGCCTTGCTGGACCAGAGCCGCAAATTGTTGGTGGATGGAGTTGCATAGCCTGGAATCGGAACATCGTAGGCGACGGCCGTGACGATCTCGCCTCCCTCCCAATGAGCGACGGACTTGCCATTTTCATCCTGTGATTTGCGGACATTGCCGTAGAATTGTATCTAGATTGCAAAGGTGAGATTCACATGCGCAAAAAAGGTAAAAGCCAACTCACATCCACTGTGACATCGTGGCGGGGGAATTCCCATGGGTTGAAGTCCAACCAATAGTCTGGAACCTCGACTTGGTAGCCATTGATGATTTCCTGCTTGAAGATACCATATCTGTATCGCAGACCGTAGCCCCAAGCGGGATAGTCGAGGGATGCAAGACTGTCGAGGAAACATGCAGCCAAGCGACCGAGACCGCCGTTACCAAGAGCAGCGTCGTGCTCCTGTCCGATGATATCCTCGATACGGAAACCGAGATCCTGCATGCCATCTGGCGATATGATTATCAGCCGAGTTCAATGTCCGTTTAAATGGGTTGCACAAGGACTAACCTTTTGCCACATTCTTTAGGCCAAGATTCAACATGGCATTGTCCATGGCACGACCCATTAGGAACTCGAGACTGAGGTAGTAAACACGCTTGCTGTCAGCAAAAGTCTGACGCTGCTGCGTCTTGTTCCAGTTCGTGATGAGGCGATCACGGAAGGCTAGTGCGGCAGCCGAATAGGCAGCGCCCTCGTCACAGTTGTACAAGCTGCGAGCGAGTGTGGTTTCAACATGACGGACAACCTCTTTCTCGAACCCGTCCTTGTCTGTGAAACCCTGTACTTGATGCTTGGTCCAAGCCTCTCGCTGAGGTTCGGGGATGGACGCTGTAGTAGAGACAATGGTTAGCGATTCCAGACAGGAGAGCCGTAATGGCCAAGTAGAATGTGTCACGATGGCAAGTTTCTATCTTGGTGCCGTGGGGGGTTCCTGCTATTCAAAGGCTCAACCTGGCAGATTGACATGGTCTATACGCTGGAGTGAGGTGTAGTATAGCACGTTTACCACTAACCTTCCACATTCTGAGCATCGTTGGCACCAAAGCCAGTATAGGTTCTCTTGTGCTTCGGCCGAGATATTCCTTCAGGGCCGACGGAACCGACAATATCTACAATCGGAGCCGACGTCGAAGGCCTGCGCTCCCTCAGGGGAACCCGTTGAGGCTGTTCGGTGGCCATGGTGGAACTGAACGGGGATCTAGTCCGCTATTAACGAGCCGAGGTGGATTCTAGCCTGTACGTCTGTGGAAAGGTGTAGAGAGTCTACTGTTGATCTAGTCTAGGAAAGCAAACTGTAACCAAGGAATCAGTTCTATGTCGCAGCTTGCAGGATGCAAACTTGAACGGCCGGCTTTGATTCACTATATGAAAAACTACATGCGAATGTTGGCCTGGGAGCGCACTTACATGCCAGAGGAAATATCTAGTCAACCTCGTTCGCGATGTTTTGCGGCGCAGAGCTGAGCAAAGAGGGGCAAGCGGGGCCGGGTTTGCTGATCATAGAGGGGAGCTCTAGGGAGGTTGCAGTGCTAGTGACAAGGAGAGCTCCTTGTCTTACGGGAACGGACGATCACCGCGGGGTAGCAGCACACACGGACTTGACGATCCGGCAGCAGCACGAATTGATTCCCCAGAGAAAGCAAAAGGCGAATCGAGATAATTCGAGAGCAATTCAGGGAAGGGGAAGAGACGAGACAAGATGTATGTGAGCTTCTGAAGAGAGAGCAAAAGGGAGGAAATGTAATTGAGTAGGGAATCGGGAATTCGGGTATATAAGAGGAGACGAGTAGTGTGTGAAAAGTAACCCTGGACCTCGCTTGAGAAGCTCGTCGATGGATGAGACCAGTTCTCGGTCGACAAATGGGCTGACTACTTGTCGGCCCAGAAGCACAATGACGACAGCTCAACAGAACAAGTACGTATCGAATCGAAGGAAAGAGGCACTTGACAACTGCAGCTGCAGGTTCCTTCCGGGGGATTTGCTTTTTTCCCTGCTCTTTTCTTTTTAGAGTGATTGAGTGAAACCCCAGACAGAGCAAGTGCTTGTGGTTACTTTACCCCAGATTACCTGGACAGGTGATATCAATCTCAACCTTGCCCGTTGAAATCTACACAGGTAAGCTTCAGGTACCTGAGTCAAGCATGTACGGAATATATCTACCTACACTTACCGGCATTGCGGAATAAGCATGTCAATGTAAGCATATCATGGAAGATGGCCAACTACTTTTGGCGGCATGTAGCGAACCTACTAATGTTGTGTTTAGCACAAGAACTAGGTAAGGCAATATAGCAGGTAACTTGAATTGAGGTACTCAATGCATGCATGCAGCTCACATAGTTTGAGGTCGTGTAGGAAGGTTAGGTACTTTTCTATCGACCGACTCCATCCTGTTGTTTCTGCGACCGCAATTGCTGCCCAGAAGCCATTTGATCTCCATAAGTCTCAACTTTACCACCCTCCGTACCTCGGATTCAAATCAAAAATGCGAGTTTGCTCTCATCACCTGCGTCTTGGCTCGAATTGTCGCAGACCGGCCTGGGCTCCTTCAGCTTCCTTTCTCGTTCTTTGTTGCCCTACACTAGAATCTATGTAGAATCATGCCCATCCGCCGATCAAGCCCACTCAAATTCTTCCATTCCGTTCCGTTTCAATGGAGTCTCCTTTCGTCTTGGGCCCCCGTCCGTCTCCTTTTGCGTCAAGTGGATGGACGCACCTCCTAATGCATGTACCAATGTAGTGTACTCTGTGGAGGGCGGCAGCTTGAGTGGCAGGAGGAGTGCGGGGGTCAAGTTACACACACATCCAGGTGGCTTTGCAACATACATACAGCTCCAGCACCGATTTGCTCCACGTATGGAGGAGAAGAAGGAAAATGCATGGCACCGGATGCATTTACTTTTTATTGATGTAAGCCAGCTAATGAAGATATTTTAAACCATATATATACGTCTCGATTGATGTAGCAGCCATCAGTACATATGAAGCTGCATACATTATCTACATAAATGCACTCGACGTCGGATACTGACATTCATGTCTTTCCCCTTCCACCGTTTGCCATCCCTGGAAATCTGAGCTCGTATTTCTGCCTACATACCTGGCAGCTGGATGGATGTACTTGGTACACAATAGGTCGTTATCCACCCATGGCGCGGCATTTGCCAAGATGCTGGCATATTGCCAAGTCTGCCTTATCCAAGTATAGAGACAGATATAAACCGATGAATGCCTTGGGAATGAACAACTAAAGATGCAATCAACAAATGCTGCCATATATTTACTTTCTTGATCTACTTAAATGTGTAGAGACTTGGCCAAGGTCCTACCAACAAGTCACAAGGCCCATGGACATTCGATGTTGAGAAACCTGAACGGGTGTAACCCCACTGCCATTCCTACCTATACACACCGACACCAAATGTCTCCTGTTCAGTGACCAGGGTCATCAAGAACCCCATTGCCCCGTTTTCTTCGTTGTGCGGATCAGCCGGAAGAGTACATGGCTATACTACTACTATCATAATATGTAGGTGTCCCTCATCCTGACTGTTCCACTATCATGCATATGTATGCAGCTCGGCAGTACTACTAAAGCGCAACTCGCAGCCAAACGAGACTGTTCATTTGCTCCTTGTTATTCTCATGTCGTGACTGCCCACGCCCCAACCGGCAGATTTAAATAACATATGTGTCATTTCATCGTGTCCTTTTCCCCCTTCTTGGCTTCTTGGAGGCGAGTCTGCTGGGCTTGGTTGACTGCTGGCCGGTAGATAGTCTTGATTACCTGTAATGATTGCATGGTGGCCAAAACACAGAGGTAGCGGTTGGCCGCAATGATCTTTTGGCCCAGCAAAGTCGAATTATTTTCAATCTTCAATACTGCCTCATCGTACAGTTGTTTCATTAAAATATAGTTATATGGGGGGGTGGTTTCCTTCACTACGCGCCCCCGCTGTCCAGCCTTTTATACCTCGAGCTGATTTTCGTGAGACCCTTGCGGCTCTATATGGCAAATATTCATTCAGCACGTCATTCCTTTGAGGTGCTGGCCAGTCCTTCGATTTCCCCTGGGACATGATTTGCGCTGTCCAAGACAGCAGTAGGACGTCTCTTGAGACGTAGGACCTGCCCCAGCAGTGTCCTTGTGAGAACAATGTCTCCTCGTTTCGGCTCGCCATCACCAAGCCCGTTGGATGCGTGCCCTGTCTCTAGTCGTAAGAACGTTATAGGGATTGTTCGCGCCCCGACCCCGGAACGCCATGCCAAAGGGATAGAGACTTGCCACAATATTCCCAACCCCTGCAAAGCAAAAAAAAGAAAATAACTCCTGCCCAATGCTGAAAGTCATAGACTTTCGTATAGTTAGAATCCAGCGCCCCAGATATTAAGTAGACACAAAGGAAAGATGGGTAATCACAGGATGCCGGAATCCTTGAGGGCGTTGTTGAGGATTGTCTCCTTGACGGCAGCAAACACCAAGCGGATGTTTGACGTATCAGTTGCTTGCGTCAAACTAGAATTTGTTCTCGTCAGCCGTCGCGGATTGTGATGAAAAGGGAATATGCTCTGCTTACTGAGGATACAAATTAAGGTGTGCTCGATTGACCTGGTTGAACCGCCAGAGCAGGTATTTGGCAGCCTTGTTGACATCGTTGCCTCCCGAATAGTCTGGGAAATAGTTGCCCAGGGGTGACCTAGGCAATTTGACCTTGAAAATATCGACCTTGTTCAGGAACAGGATGATGCTTGTCCGCATAAACCACCTCGAATTGACAACAGAGTCAAACAGCAAGAGACTCTCCATCATTCGGTTCTGGACATTTGGTCAGCATTGCTCCTGCGCATGGGCATCTCATGTCCTTACCTGACTGCTCTCTTCCAGCAGCACTTGATCGTACTCGCTCAGGGCCACACAAAAGATGATCGACGTAACATTCTCGAAACAATGGATCCACTTCTTACGTTCGCTCCTTTGGCCTCCAACGTCGAACATGCTATTGTAGCCAGAGTCAGACATGGTCATTCTGCTGCTCTGCGGGTCTCCACTTACTGAATGCTCAGAGCTCCCATCTGGAAGCGGGTCTCATAGATACCCGTTGTCTTTGTTCTTGCTCGGAGCACGTCCATCTCATTTGGAAGATAATCCGGCGCGCATAGTCTCTGTACCTCATCAAAGAAGCTAAAAGGTTCTGTTAGCAGCAAAGACGCCATGTCAAGATATATCGAGCAAGGCTTACTATCCTGCCGAGTCCATGAGATAGAACTCGGTCTGATGATCCATTAGTCGCTCTATGCATGGATCGCTCCATATCGACTGAACCGCCTGGCCCACCCTGAAGTCGATATGCGCCGAGGGACCCGATTCTACTGTGTAACTTAATAAAAAGTTGCAATGTTCTCGATTCGCAGGGTTGCTCGGTTCGATATCGAATTGATCCATTGCGTTGATGACGGCCTTGGCGCATTCAATCAGGTTTTTAAAAACGGTGGCGCGATAGGCATGCAGCTCTTCCTCGGAATATCCTTTTAAATGAATGATCTTCATTTGTTTTACAATCGTCGATTTCCCACTCTCGCCGGAGCCTGCAAACATCTTTGGGTTAGCATAACCTCGTCAGCATCAGTCTCAGGCTCGAGAATGCTCACCAAGCAAGAGTATTTTGCATTCTCGCCGTAACCTCTTGGAGTCTTCATCAAGTGCCCTGTCTATTGCTTGGCTGCGCTTCTTCTGGTCCTCCTCTTCCTTATTCGTGCTCATGCATGATCCCATCTTCGCTAATGTAGAGCAGCTCGTCGCGAGCTGCCTTTAGTAAAGGAAAGCCAGTATATGCGCCGGATCCGATATCAGGCGCGTTGGCTACAAGCTCATTTCCCGTCTCTAATGCTTCCAAATGGCTGTTCCTGGAGGCTTCTCGTACAGTTGAAAGCGGCAGTGGCAGACAAGACGTTCGACAACGGGCGGGAGAGTCGGCGTCGACGGGCTAATCCCCGCAGTGCGAATGTGGCTGGCAACTCAAATCGGATCCTTTGTTCATGGGCGGAAAGTCGCAAACCGTCAAGAGTAGGTTCGTGGGCGGGTCCGGAGTAGATGTTACAGAGCCGACGGCAGCTCGCTCGGCAGTCGCGCTGGTAGAGGGTGGGAGCAGAAAGCGCCTGTATCAAGGCTCGCTCAACAGATGACGGAATAGATGGGAAAGCTCGGGAGGTCGGTTGAGATGGTGGCAGTACTACTGAGCAGCGTGGCTCGGAGCGACCTCATACGTAGTCCCCACAATGCTGCTTTTGGCCGGCCTGGCTAGTGAAAGACGGTCGATCGTTTAAAGTGCGGGATTGTGTGGGAGCGAGGAAGCTAGATCCGTTAGAAAACGCAGTTGATAGACCAGCTGAAAGTTGCTGTAGCTTGTAACCAAGCTGGTGTGCAGTTTTTTTTTTTGAGGCCGTTCTGGTATGATCGGATACGTAGTAGGTGGTAGGCAGCTGCTGTTCTTGCTCAAAGGTGTCATTCACGATGTGCAAAGTTGAGGCTAGGCGTTGCAGGCTAGGAATGTCGACAAAATATCGGTGTGATCAAGGTCGGTTGCGACTGAACTCTTTCTGGTGACTTTTTCCTCCCCCTTCCCTTCTCCCTTCGAGTCCACAGCCGTTTCTTTTTCTTTGTGGAACAATTGAGCAATTTCTATGTTGTCCCTCTGTATTGGCGGTACAGTAACACAAGGCGCATCTAGCTTGTGGTCGTTGCGATCAGATTGTAGCGAATTGCTGACGGGAGCAGTGAGGCAGCACTACCACCGTGAAATAGTCGGACTGTTAAAACTCAAGGACAACCACCAAGAGCCACAGTGGGATCTTGGAAGATGGGAAATATATTGGGAAAAGCCAGATAGAACCCGACAGACCGAATGCGCCGATGATGTCGCAAACCAAGCTCTAGCACTTGGCGGACTCCAGCTGAACTGTAAAGTACGGCCGCGCCAGTAGGTGGGCTTGGTAGGTCGGCAGGTATTTGACTGGACTGGCCTCTGTGCTCAGAGGGTGCAGGTGCGAGTGCAACGACAGGCGCTTCACAAGGAGCTGGCTGGCGCAACTGTGATAGGGACGGTAAAGAAGGGGTCCCGGTCTTATTCGCTGACACTGCCTTCCGCCCGGCCTGCCTTGCTCGGTAAGGCTCGAGCAGCAAGAAGCAGCAGAATGCGCGGGATGAGGATGGGGATTGGGATGGGATTGGGGGGGTGTGCTGTAAGAAAAAGACGTAACCAGGGCGTGGGTTGTCAGAAGAAACGTGGAATAATCAATGATCGGCCGTCGGGATACGATTGAATTAAGTCACCGCTAAATGTATTTACACAGTGAGTAATGTAAATTTCCAACACAGTTTAGAGCAATGCAGCAGTGGAAGAAGGCTCCCAGCAGGGCTAATAATGAATTTTGGGGTTATTAGGTACGCTGCGGCGTGGCATTGACACTATTGGCATTGCCAATTGACCTGGTACAACATGGCACCCGATCGTCTGGCTGCATACTAGTAAACTAAAATGTATATGCCAATTATCTCAAAGCGGATTGAGTTGATTGTTTAATCTGTCCTTTTCCGTCTTGTTAATCTCTTGTCAAGCATAAAGAATGTGAATTGTTTCATCCGCGGATACCGCTGGGAAAGCACTCGGTGTGCGAGCGGCAAGAAAGGCCACTGAAAGGTACCATACGTCAATTTCACTGCTGTCTTTACGGAATACCTATGCACATTTAACCTAGAAGGGTCAATTATATTCCAATTTCTGAGTCTCTTGTTTTCTTCTTTTCCTCCGTCTCTACTATCTCAAGGCTATCCTGTGCCAATTGCGATTGAGGTTTCTATTTTTACATTGCCCGAAACGTCTCATACACAAACAACGGCCTGGATCGTGCTGCTGCAAGGTCGTGGTCCTCAAATGAAGCCTCGCTGTCCACTAAACCTACTTACATCATGTTACGCACTGCAATGCAGCTAGGAGCCAAAGTCTCGCGGAAGCAGCGGTCACCGTCGTTTCAATGTTGCCCATCTGGTTGTACCCTACAATTCTCCTCGGTTAGCTCCTATGTCTAATGTAGCAGGCTGTGCTTTTTGCCCGACCGCCCGGTCTCCGTTACTACGAAGAATGCAAGTGAGTCTTGGGCAACATACACATCCCAGGTTGAAATATGATTGTCAATAGCTACATTGCTGTAGGTAGGCGGGACCAGGCGGAAATACACGGACGTGCGCATCAACCGTCTCACGCTGCCTTCAATCCAGCACTTCCCAGCCAGTACCTCATTGTACCTACTGTGCTTTTAACTAATACTTGTTCGGCTACACGGCCAACTCGTCCAGTTGGTATCTTATTCAAATCCTCTACAGAGTATATCCTTCAATTTATTTCCTTCCACCAGTTTGGGATGGGACATGTGAGGCCGTCGAATCGTCAAGTATCTAATCCAAATAAGCAGCACAGATTCATTAGCGTCACACATGAGCAATAATGACTGCACTGTCATCGGTAACAGCATCCCCCCTGCTGGGATCAACACACACTCGCATCCAAGGCATTAACAATGCTACGCCACCTACCTACCTGTGTCCTATTTTCCACGTGTTTTTTTCTGAGCAGCAGTTTTCCTTAATCCTTGCCGGGCACAATAACCGATATTGGCCTACGACTCCGTATTATTGATAGACGTCTTGTGTACCAAGGAGGCGAGCAGTATATTGAAAAAGCATTTCCGACTTGACGTGCGATGAAAATTCACGAATCTAGCTGCCACCAAAGAAAGAAGAACGCACTGTGTACGGAATAGCTTGGGTAAGAGTGCCGAGACTATCACCAAGCTGGTGTCAACCTAGAACCACCCATGAACTGGAGCTCCACTCAGAATCGTCAAAGTGGGAGATAATCATTGCACTGCGCCCAGATTGCCAGGATACAAGGTCACCCACCGATCAATCCCTACCTAACCGTCATCTCCTTTTAACTGTCAAGGGATGTCCTGCGATCAGTGCATCGCAATAGTGCTTGGTGAGCCTGGTGCGTGCTTCAGCGGTGTGAAGTGAATCTTCAGGGATCTGATAAAGCAGATGCCATACCGTAATAAGTGCAGCTGTCTCTCTTGACCATCAAACAACACTAGACTGGTAGCCTGTGTTAGAATTCTTTGGTTTCCATCATCATTGAGGCACGGTCTGGTCTGGTTTTGTTGGTCATCTTCTTCAGATATCGTCGCCGCCCCCAACAGACACCGTATATGGTACCGTACTGAGAGTAGGGTACTTGTGATAGATCCACCAGAATCGCAATGACCGACATGAAAAAGCCTCAACTTCAATCACGATCGAAATCAAGGCAATACCAGAGATTCTCATCGGAGAATAAATTGAAAAAAAAAAAAAAAAAAGAGCTATAAATCAAGCATCGATTTTCCAACTCGGGGCTCAATCAGCCGGTCATCAGTTGCCTTTTGTCACAAACCGAAGATTTGGTAGCGAGCAGTACAGGATCCACTCGTCAAGTTTGCCTATTTCAGATCGTCGTCCAGGACCTCGATCTACCCACGTGTCAGTCTGGGGTTTCGTCAGGAACGGTGGTAGGACAGCAGCTGCTAGTCAGCATGTGCTCTTGGTTCCCATTTGTCGCGCATTGGGCGATACCCACATGTCAAAAACGGCTCGTGCCTTGACTGGGCAATTCGAGGCAGATATCTACCGGCAAATGAAGTAGTCCTGTGTACGGCAAAACAGGGAGCCTCGGATAAAGTGAATATCAAGGTATGATATGCTGGTGTATGGTGCGCCAAAGTACTACTTGATATATCTGATCAGACCTATACTAACGGTCTTGTCCGGCAACCGTTCGTGGGCGGGAGATTGCCGGCCAACCCTAAAAGGCCTCGGATGTTGCGCCATGCTGACACATTGGCCAGCTAACCAAGGCTGCTAGGGTGGTTCAGCTAACAAGTCTTCTAGAAAACCACTTCATTGTTGAAAACAAGATCGTCGTCCATGGGGCAGGGGCACGGGCTCGTATTCAAGAAAACACGCCAAATGTTAGCAAAAACACCGTGCCTTTTACCAACGGACTCTACCATGGGTCTACTGTGTATGAGATCTACCGTGGATGTATAGCGCCAAGTGGCACCCTCAATTTTAAAGGCAGCAGAACAGCCAGCGAGCACGCAAGTCTCTGATGAAACGATCAGGCACAGCCGCTCCCACCCTAACTTGAGCGACCTTATTCCCAACTGCCTGAAATGGTTTGTCACAGGGCGTGCAATCCATGCATTCAGGGCCATCCCTCCACGCTTTTTCTTCTTACCACTGTGCTACGGATATATTCCGTAGCTCCGCTGTCAACCAGCAGATGAATGCCTACTATTACCTGCAGCACTTGAGACAGCTAAGGAAAACAACAAATTGCGTGTTTCTCATTTCACGTGCACCGGCCCGACAGCCCTTTTTCTTCATTTGCTGCGGCTTCCTACGCAGTCCTTTTTCTTCCCCGGCAGTTCTGAAATCGTGCAACCCACGCTAGACCGGTGAAATCATACTTTCCTAGAGCAAACTATAGATCAGGACGTCGCCAA